ACACAGGTAGTCTCGTTAAGTCACGAGAACTCATTGTCAAGAGTGACCGGTTTTTGGGAGCAGATGATGGGGGTTAAGGGCCTTGCTCAGGGGCCCAGAGTGGGGCACATGAGGGTGGAGGCAGGTGTGGATGTGTCACCTTTTCCACCCACATTGTGACATTTTGTTGACGGTACCGGGAGTTCAACCTGCGACTTTCTGATCACAGGTCCATCTTCTCTAATCTCTGCGCCTTATAATCTAGCTGGGTTTTTTTTTGTTACTTTTTTCCTTTTGACTTTCCTTTTGGTTGCTATTTTATTTTAATTTGTAAAAATAATAATAATAAAGCAGCACGGTGGCGCAACTGGTAGAGCTGCTGCCTCTCAGCGAGCAGGTCCCTGGTTCAAACCCCGGTCCAGGGGCCTTTCTGGGTGGAGTTTGCATGTTCTCTCCGTGCATGCGTGGGTTTTCTCCGGGTGCTCCGGTTTCCTCCCACAGACCAAAAACATGCATGTTACGCTGATTGGTAACTCTAAATTGTCCCTAGGTGTGAGTGAGAGAGTGAATGGTTGTTTGTCTCGTTTGTCTCTCTGTGTCCCTGTGATGGACTGGAGACCCGTCCAGGGTGTACCCCGCCCCTCGCACAGTGATTGCTGGACATGGGCACCAGCGACCCCCGTGACCCAAAATGGAATAAATGGGTAAAGATAATGGATGGATGGATGGATAATAATAAAAAAATTGTATGCCTCTTTAATGATTATCTGTTGTTGTCCACTGCTGTCATCACTCTTTGTTAAAGAAATCATGTCTCTCTTGTAAATGAGTCCCCGAGGCTCAATGGGATTAACCTGTATAAATAAAGGTTGAATGAATGCAAACTCCACCCAGAAAGGCCCCCCATCCCGGAATTGAACCAATGATGTTTGCGCTGAAAGGCAACTGTTCTACCAACTGATCCACTGGCGTGCCACCCCTCAGTTTAGTGTTAGCAAAGCAAATTTTCTAGTTAACAGAACGTGGATTAGCAAAGGTAACTTTTCGGTTAGCCATGCCCACCACTGCCTACCACCACACCAAAGTCATAATACAGAAGTCCTTCCACCAATAGAGACATTATTTCAAATACTAACTGAGGAGCATGTCCTCCAGTCCAGCTCTGTGATAAATCCCGGGTTCTGTTAACAGGAGTGTGCTGTCTTACCGGTCCAGCTGTGACCAGTCCAGAGATGGCTCGAAGACAAAATTCTAGCACCACCAGCGATGCCACACGAGACCCCACTATGGCCAAGATTGCAGTCACGAAGAAAAACTGGAGCATCCCAGCAAGCCCACTGATGGGCCTCATACTGGTTGATCGCTCGTGTGATGTGCCTTTTTCATTTTTTTCTTTTGAGCTGCGAGTTACAGAAAGAAACAAAAATATGTCAAAGATTTTGCACATTGAAAGATAAATTTTACACCTAAAAACCTGAACGTATAGTGGAAGTGGATCATAAGGTCCTTTTCTCACCTCTCCTCTAACAATACGTGTACTCTCATCAGGGAGCACAACACAGAAATCCCACATGCACCCACCAGCCCTGCAAGTCACATAACTGAGTTTACACGGCACATTTGCACAGTTTAGATAAAACCTGAATGAAACAAACAAAGAGGAGCTCACCTTGAAGTAAACCATCCAGTGGATTTGTGTCTATCAACCACCCTAGTCTGAAGTAGGAAGTCGGTAGAAACGATGTGATAAAGGAAAACATTCCTTTGATTAAGAGAGTACAATATGACTCTGACAGGTGTCTCTGTTCTTGGTGTGAAGTTCAAAGAGTCGTCTTGTGCTTCAGATTCATGTTTTTGTCATTTTTCAGATCAGACGTGGAGAAGCTCCTCTGTTTTTTTGTTTCCTGTTGCTTCAGCTCTCAGCCTGCTCTGTGTTTCTTACCAAAGGTCATCTGAGAGTTGGTGGAGCAGTTCGAGTCGGAACAAGATAATGGAGGTTATTGCACCGTGACGAAGGCTTTCAACTCGTTCTAAACCAGAGGCTCTTAGTTCTGGAAGCCAAACAGGCTGCAGCGGGAAATCGATCCAAGGAGGTAAGCTGAGTTTAAAAGTTTGGTTTTGCCTCAAGATGTTCTTCCAAGTTATTTTTCCTTACGTTCTTCAAACTCTCCTCTTAGTCCTCACACACCGGACTTAAACGTCAATACGCTGTTGTACTGAATCACCGAAAAAATGATGTTTTGAGGTAAATATAATACCATACCAGCTTTATTTATAGAGCACTTTAAACACCCACAGGACCAAAATAATATAAATATAATAATGAATTATTATAAAAATCTATTTATGAGATATCAAAGTTCATGCTCAATCATCAAGGTACAAAATCCAATAATGGTCACTCAGGTCATCTGGACAGTTTTTTTGTTGTGGAAAGACGTTTTGCCCCCTCAAACCACTTTGGCTATGGCTGCCTGCCTGGGAGGAGTCAACGACCGATGAAGCCCTCTGGATAGATGGTGAAACGTCTGTTCACAAACTATCCAGATGATCTGATTGACCATTATTGGACTATTTATGAGATGACAACAACTGGGGGAGTGGTGGCTCAGAGGTTAGAGAAGGTGGGCCTGTGATCGGAAGATCACCAGTTCAAGCCCTGGTACCGACAACATCAAAAATGTGGGTGGGGTAGGTGAAGCACCGATACCTGCCCCCACCCTCATTCGCCCCACCCTGGGCCCTTGAGCAAGGCCCCACCATCTGCTCCTCTGGTGTCCTAGATAGCAGCTCTCTGCTCCACACAGAGGGCTGTGGTATCTCGGAGGTCTGTGGTTGAGTCAGGAAGGGCATCCGGCGTAAAAATAACTGCCAAGTCTTTGTGCAACTTACAGGTAGTTCGCTGTGGCGACCCCTGAAGAAGGGAGCAGCCGAAAGAAGAAAAAAAAATGAGATGACAACAACTCACACCAGACGAAGACATGATCGATTCAAGGACTAACATTCTTGAAGGAATGCATATCAAGAAATGATGGAGATTTTTGGTCAAATTTTGAAAATATTCTTATTGATTATTTATATTTCATGTGAGATGATGAGATGTCAGACTTAAAGTGTGTGTTGTGGATGACTCTCAGCTACTACCACACCAAATGTTGGCTCAATATCTGTAAGACTGACTACGTTAGAGGCGTTTTTTGTGTTGGCCAGTACTGAGCAGACGTGGTTGCCATTTTGACTCCAAGAGTTAATCAGTTAATGGGATGTTTTAGACAGAAACACATGCAGACTGCCATGCCTCTTAGCGGCAGGTAATAATTAACCCTTGCTTCCTGCAGAGCCTGCAATAAAATTAAAAAACACCTCAATAAATCAGTCTCTCTTTTTTCTACATATTGAGCAAAGACATACATATAGATGCAGTGCACGCTGAATCCAGGTGAATTTCACAAAATAAATGTTCACAGGAAGACATCTGATTGCCAGCTTAGTATTTTCTTTATACAAGTTAGTCAGAAACTGATTGGTGCCGGAGCTCCATATTTACAACAAAGGCAAGTGGATGAGAATCTTGAATTGCTTGAGTTATGTCTCAAATTTACAAGTAACATAAATTAGTATTGTTACTCCTGCAAAACACAAATATTTCAGAGTCCAGAGAAGCTAAATCAGATAGAAAATGTTACAAAACTATAGCACACAGAGCTCGGACTGGCCTTTATCACAAAAAAAGTCATAAAATGAAGCAGAATGGTGAGCTACGGGTTCATGAAACGCTGACTTCAGTGAATTCATGAACTATGGTTAAAGTTTATCACAGGGCAGTGAGTACAGCCCCCTGTAAGACACCTATTTATCAGTCCCCATGAGTGCAGCTCAAGTAAACTGGAAACCGCTTCGGATTCAAGCAGGTGAGCACAGCATTTCTTCTAATGAGGAAACTGATTTCTTCACTAGCTCTGTTTTTTATTGTTTCTCCTAAATTCAATGCTAAATAACAAAAAGCACAATTAATTTACTTGGAAGTGATTGTTGTGCTGGTCGTTTTGTTGCTTTTGGACAGCTCCACACCCTCACTGTGTCAGAGAGCAGCAGAGCTTTGACATCAACAGATTAAACCTCTGAGAAGGAGGCAGAAAAAAAAACATCCATCATGGAGTCCAGTGGCACCAATACTGTCCAGTATGATCGCTGGAATGAAGACAACATCAACATGAATGTAGAAGCTTCACAGTCTACTGTAAGGAGGTGAGCAAAGAGCAGAGAAAAACTATGTGCGGACACAAACTTTCACTAAATATTTATTTATTTATCACTTTTGATTGGAAAGCTGCAGTTTATATTGAGATATGGGGTGCTGTTTGTAAAGTTACACTGTCAAAAATTAACAGCAATATTTTGGTTTATTTAGCATTTAATAAGAAAAAAAAAATTTTTTCAAAGTCATATTTTCACCATGTTATTAGTACATTTATAAATGTCATAGTTCCAAACTAAATATTTAATTTACAAGCTAAACATTTTGTTTACAAACTAAATATTTAATTTGCAAGATAAATATTGAAATATTTATCTTGCAAATTAAATATTTAGTTTGGAACTATGACATTTATAAATGTATGAATAATGTGGTGAAAATATGAATTTGAAAAAAATATATATTTTTTTTCCTTATTAAAGCTAAATAAACCTAAATATTGCTGTTAATTTTTGACTGTAACTTTACAAACAGCACCCCATACTGTCCTTTTCTTCTGTGCCGGTTTTAATATGAATCTACAGGGTTTTATTTTATAATATCATGCAGTTTCAAATGTTTTTCCTATAAGATAGGTTTCCATGCCTTCTATGTTTTGACTCCTAAACGAATCATACAATGAAAAATGTTGCACGTGCTTGACATCTTGTTTGGTTTGACACTTGCAGGATCTACAACAGAGTGTGTGTTGGCAGGACTGGGATGGTGGTGAAGATAGCGGGAGCCATAGCTGCTGTGGTGTTTGTTTTCTTCATAGGATACACGACAGGATACTACGTACACCGGTGCTAATAGCCGGACAAAGTCCAAAAAATTAATAAAAACTTAGTGCTTTATAAATTATTTTTAGTAGGATTATGACTTTCTTTTTATAAATGTTTTTGTTGCCAGAAATTCCACAATTTAAACTTTTGTACGGACAAAAAAAAATACTTTAAATCTGGTGTACTGCTTGTTTCCTGCTACAACAGTGATACTGATCTATAAACTTAGTTTTAAAAACTGTAAATCTTAAAGTTTTTTTTTTTTTACTTAAGAGATGTGCTAATTTACTTAGTTAAAATCCGATCAGTGGTCATGCTGACTTGTTCAGTTCAGGTGCAGATTCGGCTGATGTTGGAACAATAACATCATCAGATGACTATCGTTTTTCTAACAGCTGGCGTTCAGACTCACTCATCCAGACTCTCTGCTCGTGTCACACATCTTTGCACACAAACCTTTTTATCTATCCATAACAGCAAAGCCACTGGAGTTAGGAGTGCAGAGGGAGAACCCACTGATGTATGTTGGGGAGCGGTGGCACAGAAGTTCGAGAAGGTGGGCCTGTGATCAGAAGGTCGTCGGTTCGAGTTCCCGGACCGACATCCAAACGTGGGTGGAAAAGGTGAAACACCCACACCTGCTTCCACCCTCATTTGCCCCACTCTGGGCCCCTGAGCAAGGCCTTTAACCCCCACCACCTGCTCCTAAACTGGTCTCGCATGAAAATGAGTCCTTGCGACTCAGTGAGACTACCTGTATGGTTAAATTAAAATAAATAAAATAAATATATGAATGACAGAGGACGTGCAAACCAAATACACAAAGAATTACAGACCAGAACATAAGGCACGGTGGTGCGCTGTGGGTTGCTGGATCAAATTTCAGCCATGCTCCTTTCTGGGTCGAGTTTGCATATTTTCTCCAGGTATTCCACTTTCCTCCCACAGACCAAAAACCTGCATGTTGGGTTAATTGGTAACTCTAAATTGTCCCTAGTTGTGAATGTTTGTCTCAATGTGTCCCTGTGATGGACTTGTGACCTGTCCAGGGTGTCCCCTGCCTCTCGTACAGTGACTGCTGGGTATGGGCACCTCGTGACCTGGAAAGGAAAAATTAGGTGAAGACGACAGATGGCTTTCACTCCTTTGGCATGTTTACATTCCAGTAACACTTTAATATTATGTTTGTAAACAATAAACAAGCCTTCGTATGTGTTGCACTTCCTTTACCCTTTCCCACTAGGAGCGCCCTGAGTTCTATTCTTCCCTTGGTAGACTTTCAACTCAAACGTTTTATATTTACACCAACCCAAATATGAAACCCAAATAATCAAATGTATCTTATCACGCTCTAATTTATTAAGACAGAAAAAAACTATGCTAAATTTAACGCAAAAACAAAATAAAATTAGTGAGAGATCAGTTAAGCTTAGTTTCTTTAGAAAAAAAATGTATCAATTAAACACAAATTTAATTTTACAAGCACATTCTGCCCTTTAAATAAATCTAACTTGTACACTTCTCAATTTTTTCTTCTTCATTTTGAACCATCAGTTTTATCATGCAGTTGTAAGCCAATCAGCACACCGATCATTTAAACATCCATCCACTGACGGAGGAAAGAATCCATTTTGATTGCTTCATGTATGGAGCATGTTTCTCACCGTAACTCTCTACCAAAACTATCTTAGCAAAATAAATAAATAAATAAACAGCTATTGGGCAGATTACTACATACAGCCAGAACAGCTCAAATCAAACGTAACTGTCAGAAAAATCCTACCTTGGCCCCATCTGTTCAGAAAGTGGACAAATAAAAGTTTTCCCAGTTACGATAGATTTCAGCAGGGCTACACATGTGCAGAAGAACTGCTTCAAACCCACAAAACACAGGCAGATTAGCTCTGGGTCATGATTACAATTTTGTTGACATTTGCCTAAAATTAAAATTGACTTCTGTTATGAATTGGCGCTATATAAATAAATTAAAAATATACATTTTAAAAATCTAAATTCATATAGGACATGAACGGCAGCTTATTTTCACTGGTGTTGTATAATGTACTCCATATGGGCAACCTGAAACATGTTCCCATGGTTTTGTAAATAAGACATTCTCTTGTCTTTTTTTTATTGCAGCACAACTCTGGACTAAATATTGTACTTCAAGATGTTTATGGACAAGTTAACGAGAGCAGCGTTACTTACTAAAATCAATAATCAAGTTACATCAATCAATCAACCTTTATTTATACAGGTAAATCCCATTGAGCCTCGAGGACTCATTTACAAGAGAGACCTGATTTCAACAAAGAAAGATGACAACAATGGACAACAGCAACAACAATAAGCAGTTATAAAAACTCATACTAGTTTTTTTTTTTTTTTTTTTTTAACAAATAGGATGGCTAAAAGGAAAAAGGTAACAAAACAAAGTAAAACAGCTAGATTCCAAGACAAATGTATAAAACTAAAAACAGGAACATGTCTGCATTGGTCCCTGCCAGGAGTCCAACAGATTCTTAAAGCCACTTAGAGAGGTCAAGGTCGAGAGCTTCAAATCTTTTTGTAAGATATTCCAGGAGACAGGAGCGGAGTAGGAGAAGGCCCTTTTGCCTAGTTCAGTCCTCACTGAGGGAACACTGCAGGTAATAATGTCCTGAGAGCGCACTCCGTAGCTGCACTCACGCAGAGACATGTAGGAGGAGATGTATGAAGGCAGCAGACCAAGAAGTGATTTAAAGATGAAAATGTACCAGTGAGAGAGTCTGCGTGAAGTTAATGATGTCCAGTTAACCAATGAATACAGGGTGCAGTGGTGGGTACGATAATCACAGCCAGTTATGAATCTTAGTGCACCATGATAGACAGCATCCAACATCTGCAGGGTTCTTGTAGGAGCGTTCATGTAAATAATATCACCAAAATCAATTGAGGGAAGGAAAGTCACAGATACAAGGCGTTTTCTAGCATTCAGGGTTAGACAGGATCTGTTTCTGAAAAAGAAACCCAGTTTAACTTTCAGTTTCTTTACCAAGTTTTCCACATGGAGCTTAAAAGAAAGATGTGAGTCGACCAAGATACCCAAATATTTATAGGAATCAACAAACTCAATGGGGACACCATTTGAGGATAAAATCGGAGGAAGAACTGCTGGGACCAACTTCCTATTTGAAAAAAGCATCCCTTTGGTTTTTTCGGCATTTAGGACAAGTTTGAGGTGAAACAAATCAGTCTGGATGTAGTTAAATGCAGATTTCAGAAGCTGGAAAGCCTTAGCAACTGTTTTAGCTCGACAATAAACAACTGTGTCGTCAGCATAGAAATGTATGGATGCATTAGGGATGTTTTTACCTACATTATGTATGTAGATTGTAAAGAGGGTGGGTCCTAAGACTGAGCCTTGTGGTACACCATTGTTGAATGTTAAATAACTGGAGGAAGTACCATTATGTTGAACACATTGCCTCCGGTCTGAAAGATAGAGAACCAACCAATGGTGTGATCTGAGAAACAGATTTCTGAGAGTTTATGGCACAAGATGTTATGATCCACAGTGTCAAAAGCTTTAGACAGGTCTAAGAAAAGTGCAGCACAATAATCTTTAGCATCCAGTGCTTCAACAACGTCATTAAGAACCTTCAGTGAAGCAGTGGTGCTTGTATGACAGAAATGTATTTATTTATTATTAACCTATATTTAACATTTTAAATTATTATTATTCACAATGTCCTTGTTTACACAAAGATTAAAACAGCGGGCACTGAAAAAGACACTTGTATCTTTATTAAAAAGTCTAACATATCAAAAAGCAAGCAGTGAAAACCATCATCATCATGACATGCAGTTTTTTATACTCTTCCCAAATGTTTTGCAGCTTTGATACAAGATTTCATTTCACACTGTTCATAAAAGGTTAAAAAATAGGCCTGTCAATAGTTTGTTCTTGTTGTGAAAATGCCTCTAAAATACGCATTTTACTGTAATTATTCCACAAATCCAGGAGTACACAGATGATAAGAGTATTTATACTGCTCCGTATGCAATAAGTTTAACTGTCTTGAATTTTACTGCAAAAGTTATTATACCCACTCTGCAACACTCATGTTGCATCACAAATAATAATAATGAAGAACCTTGACATCTGCTTTTAAAACAATTCATACGTGTCAATATAATAAAACCATATCTATGCATTTAAATGAAGTTAAAGCTGCACAATATATTGAACATTTTTCATCATCATAAAAAGGTAATCACAAAAAGTTGCTTGGAATGCATTAAATCAGTTATATGCTGAGTGTTCAATGTTTTATGTTATGAGTGCTTAGTGTATATTTAGTTGATGTTTTTCTTAGTTCATATCTTAGATGTTACTGTTTTTCTTATACATTTTATTGTTGGATGTAACTGGGACCCTGTGTACATAATTTCGCTCCACCACATGTACCACATGAGGTGCGAATGACAATAAAGAAACTCTGACTCTGACTCTCTGACTCTGTTGTGCATTTATTATACAGCGCATCCAGAAAGTTTTCACAGCGCTTCACTTTTCCCTCACTTTATGTTACAGCTTTATTCCAAATTGTATCAAGTTAAACTCTTTCCATAAAATTCTTAACACAATAACCCATTATGACAATGTGAAAAAAAAATCTTTGAGGTTTTAGCAAATTTTTAAAAATATAAAACTAAGAAATCACATTTAATTAAGTATTCACAGCCTTTAACTATGAAGCTCAAAACTGAGCTCAGATGCTGTTTCCAGTGATCATCCTTTGAGATGTTTCTACAACTTAACTGGAGTCCAGCTGTGGTAAATTCAGCTGATAGGACTTGATCTGAAAAGGCGCACCCGTCTATAGAAGGTCCCACAGCTGACAGTGCACGTCAGAGCGCAAACACCAAGCATGAAGTCAAAGGAACAGTCTGTAGACCTGAAACTGGATTGTGTTGAGGCACAAATCTGGGGAAGGAAACAAACATTTCTGCTGCTTTGAAGGTCCCAGTGAGCTCAGCAGCCTCCATCATTTGTAAATGGAAGAAGTTTGGAACCACCAGGACTCTTCTTGGAGCTGGCCAGCCGTCTAAACTGAGGGATCAGCAGAGAAGGCCCTTAGTCTGGGAGGTGACCAAGAACCCAATGGTTCCTCTGTAAGAGCTCCAGCGTTCCTCTACGGAGAACCTTCCAGAAGGACAACCATCTCTGCAGCAATCCACCAGTCAGGCCTGTATGGTAGAGTGGCCAGATGAAACCCACTCCTTAATAAAAGGCACATGGCAGCTCATTTGTCAAGACACCTGAATGACCCTCAGACCACGAGAGACAAAATTCTCTGGTCTGATGAGATAAAAATTGAACTTTTTGGTGAATGTCAGGCATCATGTTTGGAGGAAACCAGGCACCGCTCATCACCATCTCTACAGTGAAGCATGGTGGTGGCAGCATCATGCTATGGGGATGGTTTTCAGCAGCAGGACCTGGCATAGTCAGGATAGAGGGAAGGATGTACAATGTACAATCATCCTGGAAGAAAACTTGCTCCAGAGATCTCTTGACCTCAGTCTGGGGCGATGGTGCATTTTTCAGCAGGACAACGACCCAAAGCACAAGGCCAAGATCTCAAAGGAGTGGCTTCAGGACCACTCTGTGAATGTCCTGGAGGGGCCAAGCCAGAGGCCAGACTTAAATCTGACTGAACATCTCTGGAGACATCTGAAAGCAGCTGTGCACAGATGTCTCCCATTCAAACCTGACGGAGCTTGAGAAGTACTGCAAAGAAGAACGGGACAAACTGACTAAAGATAGGTGTGCTCATCTTGAGGCATCATGTTCAAAGATAACTGAAAGATATAAATCTGCAAATATCTCAAATCTTTTTTTCACATTGTCATAACTGTGTGTAGAATTGTGAGGAAAGCGTTTAATACCATTCGGAATAAGATGTGAATGCTTTCTGGATGCACTGTATATTTGGCCAAACCAACGCACTCTCTCTGCCCTTGATGCCCACATCTGGTTTAGATGGTGGTGGTCAAGTGTTGTGAGCATTAAGGTGGCAGAACAGAAAGAGGAGTGAAGAAAATATGAGTTTTATCACAACTGAAATTGTCTTTGCGATGTTTAACAATAATATTGTGCAGCTCTACATGAAGTGCAATCAATACAACATCTGAGCTTGGTGAGTTACAAAATTATTTTACTCTGATGAGAATCAGCACCTCTAAATCTGAGGTTATGGTCCTCAGTCGGGAAAATGGTGGATTGTTCTCTTCAGGTCTAAGGTGAGCTTCTGCCTCAAGTGAAGTTCAAGTATCTTGAGATTTTTTTCAGGAGTGAGGGAAGAATGGAGCGTGAGATTGACAGAAGGATTGGTACAGCGTCTACAGTATTGCGGACTCTGTGCCGGTCCGTTGTGGTGAAGAGGGAGCTGAGCTGTAAGACAATTCTCTGTTTACTGGTCGGTCTACGTTCCTACCCTCACCTATGGTCATGAGCTCTGGGTAGTGACCGAAAGAATGAGACTGTGGATACAGGCGGCTGAAATGAGTTTCCTCCGCAGGGCAGCTGGACTCTCCCTTAGAGATGGGGTGAGAAGTTCAGTTATCTGGGAGAGACTGTGAGTTGAACTGCTGCTCCTCCACATCGAGAGGAGCCTACTGAGGTGGTTCAGGCACCTGGTAAGGATGCTTCCTGGGCGCCTCCCTAAGGAGGTACTTTGTGTATGTCCGACTGGGAGGAGACCCAGAGGAAGACCCAGGACACGCTGGAGAGACTCTGCAGGCCTGGGAAGACCTTGGGGTCCTTCCAGAAGAGCTGGAAGAGGTGGTGGTGGAAAGAGATGTCTGGGCCTCCCTGCTCAAGCTGCTGCCCCCACGACCTGACTTTGAATCAAGCGGAAGATGATGGATGGATGTTTGGGTCTGACTCATAACGAATGGCTTCAGTGAAATAAATCCAGCCTAAACACATTTCAAAAGGACTTATTTTTTCTGCTTAGAAAATCCAGTTTATATGTAAATGTTATTAATCAGTGTCTAATAGAATGTGTTAAACATTCTGCTCGTGAGTTGTTGTCACAGATTAGCCCACGGAGCTGCCACAGTCTGCTGCTTCTGCCTACGTTTTCTGGGCTCTTTCCTCCACATAGAGCTGCATCTGTGAAAGACAAATAACTAAATGGGTTTCTGTAAACAAACTGAGCTTTAGAGACAAACAGCATCACAGAAAGATTGTTTTTTAATGAGCAGCTGCAGATTAAGGGAAACTCCCAGCTCACCTTTACGATGTCGGACGTCATGGACTTCAGAGGGATGAGCCTCGACTCCTTCATGTGAACTTCCTGCTCATCAGCGACGATCCATGGAAAATCCTGAGGAAGCAAATGTCAATAAGTGACTTTTGTGTTTGCGAATATCAGAGCTGACCGGGTTAGTTCTGGTAAATGTTCTGTTAAATTCACAGCCCTGAAAGATTTCACCTTGATGACTTGAACCTTCTCCATATTGCGTGTAGCAGCCTCTCTGGTGTGTACAAGAACTGTGAAAGAACAACCTGTGAAACAGGAAAGGGAATAAATTTAAATGTCAATTCCACTTTACCCAATTTTGTCAAACTCACTCCAACTACATGGAGGACAAATTATTACTTTTATTTTAAATTAATTAAGTTGTGAGCTTGTTCTGGTAGATTGCATTTTCAGAAAATATCATGTATGCAAATTTGTGGCCAAAACTACAGAAGCCTGGATGTTTTTCAGACAAGCTGAAAAATAATCCAAAAAAATTATCTACTTTTTATTTTTATCAAGGTTGAACAATTATCCAGTTTGAAATATTTTGTGTTTCTTTTAAAAGCATCCTAAAGATTACTGATGTTACCTGGTGGGTTATTATTTAAAACGGCGTCACACACGCTGATCTTCAGAATGAACGCCCTCAGAAGCTGCTCCACATGTGACAACAAAGTTTCTGCACTGTGATAACAAAATTAAAGCTGGTAAATACAACTACCTATGAAATGTATTTCAGAGTAATTTTTTTATATTTTTTGCATTTTTCTGGTTAAAAAGGTTGATAGATAATAAACCTGATGGAGAGAGCAGGGGGTTGGGACATCTCAAACACAAATCTCTCGACTGGACGATGCTCTTTGTCCATGATGACCACCACCACCTTCTCTGCATCGTTCTGAGAAGTAAAATGGAAACTTCATTAGAACCTACAAGTGGATTTAGATTTACCTTTTTGAAACTCATCTTACCTTTTCAATAAGCGGCTTTATACAATACAATGTATCTTGGATATACTGATTCAGGTCAGGGTGACATGACATCTAAAAAACAGATGCACCAAAAACAGAAGGTCAGTGTTAAACACCCGAACAGATAAATTAACCTTTAAAAACGGTAGCAACATTATTAAAGGGCTGCACACCACGTTTCAAGCCAGAGTTTTAGACTCTTCTGTTGAGAAATGACAAATTGATTGTAAATAATTAGTAGCAGTTTCACACCTTGAAAATAATGTTATGCACAATCTCATGCAAAATTACGAGGTTTCCCACTCGGTGCATGTGGTAGGAATAATTCTCAGATACTTCCACATAAAATTTATGCTTAACATTTTTCAAATTGACCGAGTTTCAGACATTTTAATGGTGGCTAACATAGACTTGATGTCATAACAGTGCTCTATATAATATATATTGAATTTAAATCACAAAGTTAATCAGTTATACATGTAGATGCACAGTGAATGATTTTTGGTCCAGTTACTGGAAATGTTTAGGTTTAGTTACTGTATTGCTGCATGGGGGGGGGAACGACACCAGATACTGAAAGCAAAGGTTCACATACTTTTGTTACTCACAAATATGTAATATTGGATCATTTTCCTCAAAAAAATAAATGATAAAGGGTTCACAAATATTCAAGCAACACTGTCTGAGTGTAAAATCAATCTCGACTACTACCACACCAGGTTTTAGATCTGTAGAGTTGACTGAATTATACCATTTTGTGTTTTGGAATGTCAGCTGGTTGTGGCAGCCATCTTTAACTGTATTCACTGCAGAAATAAATTTTTTAGTACATGTACATCCAATGAGTACTTTCTGTAAATTTCATAAAAATTCATCCCATCGGTATATGAAATATTTTGGTAACATAAAGACACAGCAGACACACAAATGGAACAAAAAACATTATTGATCGTCATTCTGCGATTAAGCAGTCTGCTCATCAGATAAATAGTGTTAACTTATATATATATATTCAATTAAAAAAAATTTCAAAAATACTTTATTAATCCCAGAGGGAAATTAAATGTTGTTGTAACTCATCATCCTGGTTTCATTAAAGAGTTGTTCTAGATGCTGATGGCTGTGGGCAGGAAGGATCTCTTGTAGCGGTCTGTCCTACAACGGATTTGAAGAAGCCTCTGACTGAAGACACTCTGTTGTTGTATGACAGTCTGATGAAGAGGATGCTGAGGGTTGTCCATAATGTTCTTCATTTTATGAAGAATCCTTCTTTGAACAATCATCTCCAAAGGTTCTAGTGGAGTCCCCAGAACTGAGCCAGCCTTCTTTATGAGCTTGTTGATCCTTTTTAAGTCACTTGCTCTGGTGCTGCTCCCCCAGCAGATGATGGCAGAAGAGATGGCGCTCTCTACAACAGACTTATAGAAGATGTGCAGCATCTTGCTGCAAACGTTGAAGGACTTCAGCTTCCTCAAGAAGTACAGTCTGCTCTGTCCCTTCTTGTAGATGCTTCACTGTTGCATTTCCAGTCCAGTCTATTGTCCAGGTGAACTCCAAGGTATTTATACTTCTCCACCACCTCCACTTCTTCTCCCATGATGGAAATAGTGTTTGATCTGTTCCTGATTCTCCTGAAATCTACAATCATCTCCTTTGTTTTGTTCACATTCAAGATGAGATGATTGTTTCCACACCATGCCACAAAGCGGTCCACCAGTTCCCTGTACTCAGCTTCTTGTCCATCTCTGATACACCCGACCACTGCAGAGTCATCTGAATATTTCTGCAGATGACAGGAGTCTGTTTTGTACTGGAAATCTGAGGTGTACAGAGTGAAAAGGAATGGTGAGAGTACAGTCCCCTGTGGTGCTCCTGAGCTACTGACCACCTGGTTAGACACACAACCCTTCAGTCTCACAAACTGTGGTCTGTCTGTCAGGTAGTCTTTGATCCAGGAGATTGTTGAGGCCTCCACCTGAGTCTTCTGAAGTTTCTGACAAAGCAGATCAGGCTGGATTGTGTTAAATGCACTGGAGAAATCAAAGAACATGACTCTCACAGTGCTGTCTGCCTTTTCTACATGACAGTGAGTTTGCTGAAGCAGGTGTATGATGGCATCTTCAACTCCAAGTCCACGCTGATAAGCAAACTGCAGTGGGTCCTGATATGTGCTTGTTTGTTTAGTCAGGTGGGTCAGCAGAAGTCTCTCTAGGACCTTCATGATGTGGGATGTCAGGGCAACAGGTCATTGAGGACTGATGGGTGCGTTTTCTTTGGCACTGGAACAAGGCAGGAGGTTTTCCACAACACTGGAACCTTCTCCTGGGTCAGGCTAAAGTTGAAGAGGTGCTGCAGAACCCCACAGAGCAGCTCTGCACAGACCTTCAGGACTCTGGGACTGACACCATCTGGACCTGCAGCCCTATTCCAGTTCAGTCTCTCCAGCTGCTTCTTCACCTGACTTATGGAGACGCAGAGGAGGGAGGCAAAGGAGGTATCAGCATCTTCTGATTTAGTTGAAGACCAATATGTAGAAGAAGGGTCCATGACTGAGGTGGTAGATACAATATTTGAGGTGTGACAGGACAGCCTTGGGTCAATGGAGGGTGGTATGTATGTTTGGCTGTGGGCAAGAGAGGAGGATGTTGAGCTTGTTCCTGAACTGAACCGATTGAAGAACGTGTTCAGTTCATTAGCTCTGTCCAGGCTTCCATCCTTGTGATCCTCCTCCTGCTTGAAGCCTGTGATCCGTTTCATCCCTGACCACACCTCTCTGATATTGTTCTGCTGGAGCTTGCTCTCCAGCTTCTTCTTGTACACCTCCTTGCTGTTGCTTATCTTGACTTTTAGTTGCTTCTGTGTGCTCTTCAATAATTCCCTGTCTCTCTCCCTGAAGGCTCTGTTTTTCTGGTTTAGCAGTTCCTTCAGGTCAGTGGTAATCCAGGGTTTGTTATTGGGGAAGCATCTCACTGTTCTGGTGGGGATGGTGTTGTTTACACAGAAGTTTATATAGTCGGTCACACACTCAGTCATGGCATTGATGTCCTCTCCATGTGGCTGGCACAGTGCATCCCAGTCTGTAGCGTCAAAACAACCCCGCAGGGCTTCAGCTTCCGTTGACCATTTTCTCACTGTTCTCTTTATTGCAGGTTGCCTCTGAACAAGGTGTTTATATTTTGAGCAGAGATACACAAGATTGTGATCTGATTTGCCAAGAGGGGGTCTTGCTTTAGCGATGTATGAAACCTTGACATTTGCATAAAACAAGTCCAGCGTTTTGTTTTCTCTGGTAGAGCAGCTGACAAACTGTTCGAATGTCGGAAGTGTAGCAGAGAGAGAGGCATGATTAAAATCCCCAGATATTGCAACAAATGCACTAGGGTGTTGTGTTTGTAGCTTAGCAACCTCGGAGCTGATGACATCACACGCAGTCTCGGCAACAGCATTGGTTTGAATGTAAACAGTTGCCAAAATAACACTGGTGAACTCGGCAAATAATATGGACGACCACTTAAGGCTAACAGTTCAATATCTGGACTGCAGAGACGACACTTCACAGTAACATGTCCAGGATTACACCATCTGTTGTTCACAAGCACTGCCAACCCACCTCCTTTCCTTTTGCCACTCCTCTTTAAATCTCTATCTGCTCGTATGGTCAGAAAGCCTGGCAAGGAAACGCTGGAGTCAGGGGTATGATCCTGCAACCATGTCTCAGTGAAACACATAACACTGCATTCCCAATACTCTGGATGGGGCCTTGTTAGGGCTTGAAGTTCATCCAACTTGTTTCCCAGCGATCTCACATTGCCCATCATGATCGATGGAAGAGATGGTTTAAACTGCATTCTTCTCTCTTTCTCCCTCTTCTTTGCTCCTGCTCTGCATCCACGACGCCTCCTTTTCAACTCATTTGGGATTTGAGGCTGTAGTTGAGATATTATTTGAGATTTGGAGATGTTAATCAGCTGCTCCCAGTTGTAAAAAACCTTGTTGTTATGGTTACGCATCATAACAAATGTCCAAAAGCAAAGATATTTCTGTAAAAATCCTTCCAACTGCACAGCATCCGACACCAGAGGAAATAATCATCCAAAAAAAAAAGCGATTTATATCCAGAAAAAAAGAGGAATTAAAGTTATCAAAAGTAATATCTCAGAATGAAAGTAACAGAGCTACTCCAACATGCAGCCACCTTGAGCGGTGCAATTCTAGAATTTATATATATATATATATATATATATATATATATATATATATATATAAACTGAATTGAATAAACTTTATCTTTTGGTGGTGGACAAAAAATATACATACATCCATACCTGCACAGGTACATTGTACTTCTTCCTCTTCTGAAATATTCCAGAGGGATATACTTCACGTACATAAAGAATTAGATGGATAGCAACCTCTAGGAACTCGCAAAGAATGTCAGCAACAACTGGGAAATAGTAAAAACATGTTTGAGTGTGTTATATTCACCACAGATGTAGCAAATCACCAAATTCAATAAAAGACACGTTTTTAATGTTGCCGTAAGTCAAATAATCACAGGCCAGGTTTATCAGAGACCTGTTTTTCTAAGCAGTTAGATGTTAGATCCTTCTTTAAATAAAATTACCCTTCTTGAACACTGATATAAACATCACAACCACTAAATATCAATGCCATAATACAGTTGGGTGTTGTGCTTTGAGATATATTTTCACCAGATTCATATTTACATTAAAAAATAAACTATGTTCTGTGGCCTTTGAATTTGACTCTAAAATTCAATCATTTTGACCAGTATGATTTAGAAACCACATCTTAGATTGTTTACTTTATTTGTTTGGCTTACCTTGTCCAAAATTAATATCTTGTCTTGTTAGGGTCGTCATGTTTTATTATCCCACAATCGCTAAAGTAATAATTAAGCTTCAATAGTTTTCCTTCGCAAACACAAACAGATTTAATCAGCGACTGAAGTTGTGGGAGCTACACTTTCCTTTTGGTGACGCTTGACTTGACAAATCAAGAGACACGGTTTCAGTTGTTACAAATGCTAAACAAATAGAAATAAATATGCAGCTTCGTGTATTAAAATTAACCGTGGCTGTAATTATTTTTATTGATCGGAAACGCGACGTTATTTCTCTTTTTCGCAGATATTCGGAGCTACACCGCGCAGGAAAGTGACGTCTCTTTATGTTTTTTTTTTGTTCGCGTCCAAGGGTGATGACGTCACTACGCATTAAATATCGCGACATTTAAAAATTTTTTTGATCAAAACGTGAAGAGTTCTGAAAAAGTTTTATTATCTTTTAATAATTGCATTATTAAAAAAAAATAAAGGTGTGCGTGTGTGTGTACCTCTTTTCTTTTCGGTTTGACAAAATGTTTTAAAAACATACAAGCAGATAAATTTCTGTCTTTACAAAATCATGGGCAAATGAGCATGCATCAGGTTACACATTAGTGTTATTCTTGTAAATACACAAGTTTTAATCTTGTAAATAAAGCTCTTGTTCTTAAGTAACCTAACCAGGTGTGACTTTGTTTTATATTATTATAGTAGTAGTAGTAGTAGTACACTGTATTACAATAAGTCTTGTAATTGCTTCTGTTCCAATCAAGAAATTCTAATACAAACGCTTTACAGTTTGAGAAAGAAATGCATTTATTGCGTCGCAAAGCACAAAAAACATTTTGTAATGTGATGCGCCCCCCTCTGGTAGGGAAACAGATTACAGTACTTCGGAGATAACTTATCTTCACGGGATACAGGAAGTCGTCAACAATGCCAGCGGGAAAAAAAGATTCGTTACCAAAATAAAACAATTCGGCCAGCGTTGTAAACTCAATCATCCTGGTGGATAACAGCAAAAATAGTTAAAGAAACTGGTCCAGATGACACGATTTAACCTTTTTTGTTAGTAGGTTTTAAGCGCTGTTCAGACATACAGTGTCAGTGACTGTGATAATACGTACTTGTGCAACAAATATATAAGTTAACCCAAATAATTAAAGACTCAGACTTTGTCGACCTGTGGTTAGATTAGAGTCACAACTTTGACTGTTGGTTAAAGTGCTATTTATACCACCTTAGATCAACTCTGGTACATAATCTAAAAAACTTTCTTGTCACACCTACTAAATTATTCTAAACTCAAGTTATTTGTTATTTTGTTTGTTGTTATACGCGTCCATGAAACCTGATGAATCCAATAATTTACTTGGATTATAAGCATGTTGTAAAGACATCAAAACGTGGATGATCCTTAATTTTCTGCTTTTAAACTCAGACAAAACAGACGTTGTGGTTTTTGGACCTGAGCATCTTAAGAATAAACTTTGTAGTCTTTCACTTCCTCTGGATGGCATTAAAGTAAAAAAAAAAAAACATGGTGTTATTTTTGATCAGGATATGCCTTTTAATACCTACATTTAAAAAGTTACCAGAACCGCTTTCCTCCACCTGGATAATATTATAAAAATTAGAAACATCTTATCTAAAAACAATGCAGAAAAACTGGTTCATGCATTTGTCACGTCTAGACTGGACTATTGCAACTGTTTATTATCTGGTTGTCCAAAAACTTCTTTAAAAATTCTTCAGTTGATCCAAAATGCTGCTGCCAGAGTCTTACTGAGAGTTTGTGGGAGAGATCATATCTCTCCAGTTTTAGCTTCTCTCCATTGGCTCCCTGTCAAATTCAGATTAGAATTCAAGATCTTACATCTAACACACAAAGCTCTCAACAACCTAGCTCCATCTTATATTTGAGATCTTATTGTTCCATACTTTCCTAACAGAGCACTTCACTCTCAGACTGCAGGTTTACTTGTGGTTCCTATCATTTCCAAAAGCAGAATGGGAGGCAGCTCTTTCAGTTATCAGGCTCCTCTCTTGTGGAACCAACTTCCAGTTCCTGTCCGTGAGGCTGACACACTTGGGTTTCTTGAGCTATCCTTTAGTTATCTTGCTATAGGCTTAAACTGCTGGAGGACACATTTACCATGTAACCTGCTGCTGTCTTTACTTGCTCTACTCTACCTGTTTGTATTTGTAATTATTTCTATCCTTAACAAATGCTTTTTGTCTTTTTTCCAATAGAAAGTTCACCTGGACCTGTTATTCTGTGTCCGTTCCACCTTCCTGTCCTCTCAAACCCAGCCAGTCGAAGCAGATGGACGCTCGTCCTCAGCCTGGTTCTGCTGGAGGTTTCTTCCTGTTCAAAAGGAGTTTTTCCTTTCCACTGTTGCCTTTATGCTTGCTCAGGTGGGAGACTGCAACGAAGTGAAGATTTACAGTCTGCTGACTTCCTCAGATAGATAACTTTTACTAATTGGCTAATTGGCTTCTATAATGTATGTGAATGAGATGACTTCTGTTGTGACTTGGCGTTATATAAATAAACTGAATTGAATTGATGAGAAATATGTGAAAACACAATATTTAAGTTATATTTGGTATATGTGGTCAAGATGCCCCAAAAAATTAAAAGCAACAAAATCCTATTTTTTACCTCTACAAAATTAAATATTACAAATTGTACACTGACTTTTCTCATACTTGTATTTAGAGACGCATAATTTTGACTCTATTTTTTTAGCAAGGGAAAACGTTTAATATTTAGAACCAGAGCAGTTTGTGTAATATTCCTTTATCTTACTGCTGAACCTGAAGTCTATAAATGAAAGCTAACTGAATCATTTCATCTGTCCTAAAACAAACATTATGATTATATGTGATAATGATGTATTTGCTTCACGTTTATTCATCACAGCCACAACGCTGACGATGTGCTTTTATTTTGGTAAAAGATCTTTGCTGCGCTCTCTCATTGCTGACGACTTCCGGTAAAAAAAGGGTGGGAGATAAAACTGGTCATTAAAAAGTTTGTCTCTGAGTTATGATTATTATTTTAAATCGATGTATTTTTTTCAATAAAACCAGACTTCTTTTAAATATATATATATATTGTTCTTTCTGGACCAAAAAAATCAAATACAACAAAAACAAAACAGTCGTTTTGATTTTTTTTTTTTTTGTGTGTGTGTTCATTAACTGATGAGAAAGTAGTTGCCAAAACATGCACGGATTATTTCCACAAAACCTCTTGTTCGGAACAAGGTGTTTGCTCCGAGGAGGTTCTGAGTTCTGACTGGATGTTTCCACAAGTCACGGAGCCAGCGGAGAAACACTGAAAACAGTAAGTTTCAGATCAGAAAGTTGCTTTAAAGGTTTAAAACTTCCATGAGAACATGATTTAGTGGGTCTGCTGGGCAAGACTGTACTTAACGCAACTTGAGTGTGTGTGTAGGAGGTGTGTGGAGAGTAAATACTGCTTATTGAATCAGTTTTAAACCACTGCCTTTGATGCAAATATTTTTGGTAACTTTATCCTTTATTTATTTGCTAACCTCATTCTGCAGAACTCACCTTTCAAATCATGCAGTGTTGTTTGAAACACAACACCTGCTGAGACTGAAGTGTGTCCTTCCAGCTGCAGACAGCTGTCAACATCCTCTCTGTTGTTTAATTATTTTTTGCATTCAACCTTTATTTATACAGGTTAGTCTCATTGAGCCTCGAGGACTCATTTACAAGAGAGACTGCAGGTAATAATGTCCTGGGAGCGCACGCTGTAGCTGCACTCATGCAGAGACATGTAGGAGGAGATGTATGAAGGCAGCAGACCAAGAAGTGATTTAAAGATGAAAATGTACCAGTGAGAGAGTCTACGTGAAGTTAATGATGACCAGTTAACCAGTGAATACTGGGTGCAGTGGTGGGTACAGTAGTTACAGCCAGTTATGAATCAATGCACCGTGATAGACAGAGTCCAACATCTGCAGGGTGCTTGTAGGAGCGTTCATGTAAATAATGTCACCGTAATCAATGGAGGGAAGGAAAGTCACAGATACAAGATGTTTCCTAGTGTTCACACTTAGACAGGATCTATTTTTGAAAAAGAAACCCAGTTTAACTTTCAGTTTCTTTACAAAGTTTTTGACATGGAGCTTAAAAGAGAGATGTGAATCAACCAAGATACCCAAATATTTAGAGGAATTCACAAACTCAATAGGAAAACTATTCATGGATGAGGTAGGGGGATGGTAGTAGTAATAGTTTTTGTCTTTAACTTTTTTAAATTTAATAGTAATAGTATTAGTAGTATTGGTGGTAGTAGTAGTAGATATATTAGTAGTAATGATGGTGGTAGCAGTAGGAAAAGTATTAGTAGCTGTTTTGGTAGTAATAGTAGTAGTAGAAGTATTATTAGTAATTATGGTAGTAGAAGTATTAGAAGAAGTATTAGAAGAAGTGAAGTTATTAGTAGTAGAAGTATTAGTAATTTTGACAGTAGTAGTAGTAGTATAAGTAGTAGTTATAATAAAAGTATTAGTAATGGTAGTAGTAGAAGTATTAGTAGTAATTCAAAGTATTAGTAGTAATACAATTCAATTCAGTTTATTTAGCGCAAAATCACAACAAGTAATCACAGGGCACAGTACAAAAACTTCCACGTACATACAAAAGCCAGTTAGTAAAAGTTATCTAGCTAAGGAAGCTAACAGACTCGTTAAATCTTCACTTCATCACAGTCTCCCATCCTGAGCAAGCACAAAGGCAACAGTGGGAAGGAAAAACTCCCTTTTAACAGGAAGAAACCTCCAGCAGAACCAGGCTCAGGACGAGCGTCCATCTGTTTCGACTGGCTGGGTTTGAGAGGAGCAGGAAGGAGAGACACAAACAGAATGGCAGGTCCAGGTGTAGGTGCAGGTGTACCCCCTATTGGAAGAAAGACAAAAAACACATGTCAAGGTTGTGCAGAGTAAGTAAAGACAGTATAGCATAGTAAAGTAATGTGGTCAATGATGGTAGAAGTATTAGTAGTTGTTATGGTAGTAGTAGTAGAAGTATTAGTAGTTTCAGTGTAAGTATTAGTAGTTGTGATGGTAGTAGTAGAAGTATTAGTAGTTGTTATGGTAGTAGTAGTAGAAGTATTAGTAGTTTCAGTGTAAGTATTAGTAGTTGTGATGGTAGTAGTAGAAGTATTAGTAGTTGTTATGGTAGTAGTAGAAGTATTAGTAGTTTCATTGTAAGTATTAGTAGTTGTGATGGTAGTAGAGTAATACTAGTAGTTGTAGTAAAAGTATTAGTTGTTGTTATGGTAGTGGTAATAGTAGTAGTAGTAGCAGTAGTAATAGTAATAGTAGTAGTTGTAGTAAAAGTGTTAGTAGTTGTTATGGTAGTGGTAATAGTAGTAGCAGTAGCAGTAGTAATAGTAGTAGTTGTAGTAAAAGTATTAGTTGTTGTTATGGTAGTAGTATTAGAAATATTAGTAGTTGTAGTAGAAGTAGGCTATTAATAGTTATGTTAGTAGTAGTATTAGTAGTTGTGATGGTAGTGGTACGAGAAGTATTAGTATGGTAGTACTGTAGTAGTAACAGTAGACTGGTAATCGATCAACAAGTCAAAGTGGTAACATTCAGTGATGTTGGCCTTGAAGACTTTTATTTTGAAGAGTTGGTGAAGTTACAGTCTGTCCACAGTCAGAGCCAAAGATCACTCTCAAGTAGATTTACTGAGGGAGTGTTGTGATAAGATTTACATTAAGCAGAACTGTCAAGAACATTTTACAACTATGAGGTGAGAACAGGTAAGGAACGTGGTCTTTTGTTTAACAATCTTTTTTTTATTTGCAGTGAGAAAATATGATGCAGAGCTGGAGTAAAATAAACAGATGTTTGAAAGACACAAGCATGAAATATTCTTTAACATGTAATCTGAAATTCCATTACCCTTTCGTTAAGTTTTATTGTGATTACTGATTTGAAAAGTCTTTTTAGGTTTAAAAAAAATTAAATTTTGACCTTTATTTTACCGTTGAGATCACGTATTAACCAGACAGACCACGTTTCTTTTACGGCAGCTGTGTTCTCTTCTTTCCTTGCAGACTGTGACATTTTCCAAGTCATGCCATTTTTGGAGTTCATAGCTGGGAGTGTTTCAGGTAAAAACACGAGAACTTAAATTCGGTACATAAATGTGTGGGAATAATTGATCTTTGCTGACTGCTGCAGGTGCAGTGGGACTTGCTGTTGGCCATCCATTAGACACCGTGAAGGTTAGATGAAATGTAAAAACAGATGTGAGATTATGCGTAAATAATTACTTATGCTGACAATGTTTCATCTAAAGGTGCGTCTCCAAGCCCAGTCTGTGTACAGAGGGATATTTCACTGTGTGGCCAAAACCTACTCTCATGAAGGCGTAGGTGTCCCATCCTCTTTTAGCTTATTGCTGCATGAAGTTGTCGAGTATTGACCGTTTTTCTGTGAACTCAGGTCCATGGATTCTTTAGGGGCATGTCGTTTCCGGTTCTGACCACTGGCATTCTCAACTCCATTATCTTCGGCGCTTACAGCAACGGTTTGAATTACCTCTCCCAGTCTCAGCGGAGTCAGTGCAGACCAGCCTCGGATGCACACGTCTTCACTGCCGGCTGTTTTTCAGGAGTGATGCAGGTAAGTTCACCTGAGGCAGAGACTGTAACTGACCATGCTTTTGGGCTCTCGGAACAAAGAATACCTCCGTTTTTCTACAGAAGAGGCTCACGTGTGCATAATTCTTTTTTGCTTGTTGGAAAATATTTGGATTATTTATATCAAAACAATGCAATATTGTGCATTTTGTGCAGTAAGTTCAAGTATAAGAACAAAATACATCGCATACATCTATAAAACTGTAAATTAAAGAGACGGCAGAGAAAAAAAACAAATTTCCCGCTCAGAGTATTAGTTATTAATATGCAATAAAGTCAACAAAATGTATTTATTCTAATCGTAAAACACTGCTTTGTCAATAACTACACCTGCCATCTCTACTTCTAATGAGAATGAGTTTATTGAACTTGTATGGCTCTGACTGGAGCAGGTATGAATGGTTTAAATGTGTCTGCAGAATTTTATGATAGAGGAATAAATTTAATGGATATCCAACTGGAACCTTTTAATGAGTTCAGTTTCTTCTTGAGATGTTTTTGTTTTAGTTAATAAAATGTAATAAAAGGACTATTCCTTCTGCACACTGTGCCTTCAGGTGATGGTTTGTGCGCCGATTGATCTGGTAAAGGTGCGTCTGCAGGGTCAGACATCTGCAGACCGGTACCGTGGACCTGTCCACTGTGTGGCTGTCATTCTGAGGGAGGACGGACTCAGGGGTCTGTTCAGAGGGGCCATGGCTGTCGCTCTGAGGGACATACCCTGCTATGGATTCTACTTCCTGCCTTATGAGGTCATTCGAAGGGCTCTGACGGAGACTGGACAGCAACCGGGTGAGTTTCAGAACTGATTCAGAAATTCAGTTCAAACCAGAGAATTTACATTTTCTCAATTAAAACATACAGATTGAATGCTGAGAGCTGAACGACTGCTTTAGAAGCTGAAACTGATTTGTTAAAGCAAAAAAAAAAAGAAGCCAAACACTAGTTAAAACTAAAAGAAGCACAATGCTAACTAAAAGTAGCAAAACAGTAGCTATAAGCCAAGAGAAAAATGCTAGCTAAAACCAGCAACAGATAAGCTAAACTTTGCAAAAGGCTAGCTAAAAGGAGCTAAATGTAAAAGTTTAAAGTAGAAAAACACTTGCTAAAAGCAGAAAAGGGTTAGTTAAAAGCTAAAAGTGCCAAGATGGTAGTCAGGAGCCAAAAGTTTTTAAAAAAGCTAGCTAAATGCTGCATCAGGTTACCTAAAGACTAAAAGTAGCAAAAGGCGAGCTAAACCGAATAAAAAGTTAGCTAGAAGCTACAAGTAGTAAACGGCTAGCCGAAAATACCAAAATGCTAGCTAAAAGTAGCAAAAGTAAAGTTAGAAGCTATCCATCCATCATCTTTACCAGCTTCTGCCTTTCCGGGTCACGGGGGTCACTGGTGTCCATGTCCAGCAGTCAAGGTGCAAGAGGCGGGGGACACCCTGGACATGTCTCCAGTCCATCACAGGGACAGAGAGACAAACAAGACAAACAACCAAAAAGTAGCAAAATGCTAGATAAAAACTAAACAGGAAGATGGAAATAGAGCAAGTTTGCCGAAGCTGATTTTAAAGAGAAGGATGTTTTTGAAGGAACTGCAGAGATCTCAGAGCATTTCTTTGGGAAAATATGTGAAACAGAAGTTAAATGTTTTCAAAAATATAAAAGTAACAAAAAGTAGAAGTCACAGCGCACGTTTTGATATAGTAATGGCCTTTATAGCAGTTAGATTACAAGAACTCAAACATAATACAGTAATGTATTATGTTTATATATTATGTTCACTCTGTAAATCAGAGTATGACAGAATGAAGATGTTTTACTAAAGAAAGGTCAGATTTATAAACTAGACTAGATCGTTGAACATGTTCATTTAACTCATTCCATCGCTCTTATGGTTTTTGCTCTTGCTGTCATTTCTTCTATTAAGATAAATAACTCAACAAAAATATATTTAGACACCGAAGTTCATGCTCAATAATCCAGGTATAAAATCCAACAAAGTTCAGTCAGGTCATCTGGACGTTTTTGTTTTTTTACATTTTGCTGAGACGTTTCGTCCTTCATCCAAAGGACTTCTTTGATCTGAGAAGCCACCAACAGACAAAACTGATTCCCATAAACAGCACACTCCATAGTGGAAAAAAAACAGTTTGATGGTGCTAAGATGGCCTCCAGGGCCCGCCCTCTCCCCCGTCAACTCCTCTGAGACAGTCATGACAAAGTGGCATACTCCACTATAGAGTATGCTGTTTGTGGGAATCAGCTTTGTTTGTTGGTGGCTCCTCAGATTGAAGAAGTCCTATGGATGAAGGATGAAATGTCTCAGGGAAAAAAAAATAAACCGTCCAAATAACCTGACTGAACATTGTTGGATATTTTTAAACAGTTTTTATTTTTTCATGTTTTCTATGATAACGTCTCCTGAAACACCTGACACCTTGAGCACATCAATGCACAGAATCGCATGCTCTGATTAAGGATTTACAGATTTATTATTAAAATAAAGTGGTTCCCTACCCTGGTCCTTGAGGAACACCACCTTGCATGTTTTAGTTGTTTCCCTGCTTTGACACACCTGATTTGAACGAATGGTTGATTAACAGGCCTCTGCAGAACTTGAGGAAGTAATTAAATCATTGAATCAGGCATGTTGAAGCAGATAAATAACTAAAACATGCAGGATGGTGTTCCTCAAGGATCAGAGTTAGGAACCACCAAATTAAGTCACAAGTAAATGTGTAATTGCAGCTCAAATAAATGTGTCTGCACTATCTAAACTAAATATTTGATATAGTAAGTCCAGCTCCATCAGTAAAATATGCCATACAATTTGAGTATCATTCATCTGTTTAAAATATCAGGAAAAATGTCAGAAAGTCTTATTTTCTGAGTGTAAAGTTGTTCTCTTTATTCAGGCTGCGATAGTTTGGAGGGAAAAGATCTTTGCCGAGCAGATGGATGGGAATGTTTGTCTTCCTGGGTGTTGTTTTCAAGAATGTCAGGTGTGGTCATTTCAGGTTAGGTGAGATAGTAAGTTCAAGACATTAATCTTAAAGAGCAAATGATGGTGAACTAATAATAATATTTAAAAAAAAAAACTAGAAGTCTCTCCTTCACATCACGTTGTTGACTTAATGACTGCGATAACGCACACATTAATTTAATGTTTAAAAAGCATTTTAAATGCATTTAATTTGTAGTTCTTGCAGCAAGTGGAACAAAAATGTTTGGAATAATATTTGCACCTTCTTTAATGTGCGTACCTCGTAGGCTTTTACTGGAAGGACGCGAGCAGACAAGTAGCAGTCATTTGTCACAGATGACATCACTGCTTTTTGGAAGTTTCTGATAAAACGATCGCGCACACAGATTGTGATGCCACTCATCTGTTCGTTTTCAACGCCTCCCATCTTCAGGGACCTTTGCCATCCTGATGGCAGGTGGCGTGGCGGGCGTGGCGAGCTGGGTGATTGCCACGCCCATGGATGTTGTGAAAGCTCGGCTCCAAATGTCTGGCGCCGGGGGCCGGCGGTTCAGCGGGATCCTCCACTGCATCAGAGTGAGCGTGAGGGAGGAAGGAGTCCGAGTGTTTTTCAAAGGCCTCCTGCTGAACTGCGTGAGGGCCTTCCCCGTCAACGCCATCACCTTCCTCAGCTACGAGAGCCTGATGAAGATCCTCTGTCCATCGGGAGAGTGAGCGCAGCTACACATGGTGCACGAAGTGAAAAACAGCCTCGAGGGGAATAACAACTCTTTTATCGTTGTCACCTCGCTTCATTTGACCTCATTTACCTTCGTTTTTGTGTTTTCTATAGGGACGTTCAACATTATGTACGTTTATTTTCTTATAATAATTTGTTTAAATTTGAATTTGCTCAAAGTTTGAGAGATTCTTCTAACCCCTTTTTGTTTGTTAGTGTTTTTTCTTGTTTTTATTACGGATTACTCAGTAATTAACACCTTCAGGTCAGTGTGTCTTCATGTGGAAAAAGTCAGGCCATTAATATTTTTCACTCATCTTCCACACGTCTGAACTCTGTTTAGCTTTAAGTGATTATTTCAACGCTTTTAAAACTACAAACAAATTACAGAAACTATCTTTAATAATAAATGTACTTCAGCGTAAAAACCTAAGAACTGACTTCATATCTGAAAGGAGGGGAAGGTGTTTCACAGTTTTCAGTTCAGTTGTGTTTTCTTGGCTAAGTGTTTATTTTAAAGCAAAGAAAACCAGGTCTCATTTGTTCAACATTTAATTTACCGTAATGTCTGGAATATAAGCCACTACTTTTCTTTTTTTTTTTACATACACTTTGAACACAGCGGCTTATACAATGTCACGGCTTATTTATGGATTTTTTTTTTTACTTCCTGTGAAGTGCAGTAGAAAGAAGCCTAGTCCTGGTAGGCTACTGTTTTTTGTTTTAAACAGCCATGTTACAGGCACTGTTTAGAAATAATAAAATACTGTACGTATTTGTGTATGTTACCAGTACATATTTAATTAAATGTTTAAAAAAATCTTTCTGTAAATATGTCATGTTACAACGTGGACACCCGTGGCTTGTATACAAGCGTGGCCTATTTATGTACAATTATTATTATTATTATTTTAAGTGGGTGCGGTTTATATTCGGGTTCACTCAATAGTCTGGAAATTACTGTAAGTTAGTTCATCGGTTGTTTAAACTGTGCTGCCGTTTGTCGAAGAGCCTGAAGAGGAAAACGTGCCGGGACACAGAGGAAGAAGAGGAAATAGGACTGAGGCGTAGTTGGAGTGAAGATAAGAGTGAAGCAAAACTTGAAGAGGGAACATCCAAAAGAAAAAGAAGGCCTTTAGATGCACAGGCATTTTACGGGGGCGGCACGTGCCTGTCAAATTTCTTGATCATATTTCAGAAACTTACACAAATTTACAAAGCAAAGGATAATAATTCAGGCAGCACGGTGGTGCAGTTGGTAGATCTGCCTCTCAGCGAGCACGTCGCCTCGGTTCAAATCTCAGTCCGGGGGCCTTTCTGGGTGTAGTTTGCATGTTCTCTCTGTGCATGTGTGAGCTTTCTCAAAGTACTCCGATTTCCTCCCACACACCAAAAACATGCATGTTAGACTGATTGGTAACTCTTAAATTGTCCCTAGGTGTGAGTGAGACAGTGAATGGTTTTTTGTCTCTGTGTGTCCCTGTGATGGACTTGTGACATGTCCAGGGTGTCCCCCGCCTCTCGCACAGTGATTGGGCACCGGCGACGCCCACGACCCTAAAAGGAAGAAGCAGGTAAAGATAATGGATGGATGGGATAATTCCAACAGAAAAATATCCACTCTATGATAAAACATATCAAAAGACACAATTTTATTTGTAGTCTTTAGTAATAAAGACCCAACATGGTACTGTACACATAGTACTGGGTGCCTACAGGATACTTGCAAAGTACATTCAGTGTACTTATGGGGGTACGCACAGTGCAACTACATGGCATTTATGATACAGATGGGGGAAGTGCTGGACAGTTGCAAATACATGCAGGGATACACGGTACATATAAGGTGACGTGTATGAGTACAGGGTACTTCTAGACTAGATGCAGATAATTACTGGGGTACCTATGGGATAATTCCAGATATTTTCAAGTTACATGTAGGCTCTGTATGTAGGTCTTTATGTTGGATATTTAAAAGGTCGTTACTGGCTACGTAGGGGAGACTTCTATAATACCTGTGGAAATCAGGCGGTTTTAAAAAGTGATTAGTTACCTTGTGCATCAGTTTGGCTTTATGTAAAATAAAACCTCACTTTAGAAGTATTTTACCACATTAGGCTCATGACTGACATCTGGATGCTCGTCTCAACAGTTCATGTGAGCGAGCCAGCTGCTCAGCGATTGTTTTAAGAACAGCCTCTGGGAGTGAAACTGCTACGTGTTTGTAGTTTCTGCACTGGTGTACACTTAAGAAGAAAAAAAATGTTCCCGTGTGGGAATCATTTACAAACTCTGTACGAATCGGCACATTATTTTAATCTGAAACTTGTTTTACATCATAAGCTTTTACAGGTTTAGAACAAAGTTTCCTCTTCTGAAATCAGGCTGAAATATTCTGCATGTTCCAACTCATCAGCTGAGGAACCATTTTGACATTTAGAACGAATACATTTTCTCATAGAATAATAAAGTCACAGCCCAACTCCTTTATGTGAAGAACAAGTTAAGACTTGTCCAACGTAACAGAACATAGCCGAGTGGAATAAACCGGCTTAATGTTAATAAAGCTTTGAACTTAAAACGACGAGGCTGGATTTTCAGACAAAAACAGCACAGACGTGTCTTTATTTTGCTTGTTGATCTTTATTGGTCGCAAACAGACGAGAGGCAATATGACAAGCAAACGGTTCATATACAGCATACTGTATGTCAAATTATGTCCATTTACAACAAAACACCTACAGATACTGAGAAAAGGAGCATTCCTAGAATGCAGAAAGTGTCTCAAATATCACACATTATTCAAAATGTGCTAAAACAGGCATGTGTTTGCTGAACAAGTCAAACAAAATGGATTTCAGGCACCAAACCCTTAAGAAAATGAAAATAAGTTAGTTTACATCAGTTGTTACTGTGCTGATGACATCACACTTTATGTTTTAAACCTTGCAGCTTCACTGAGTTACAGTTACTTTGAGCAGCTGCTGTACCACAGATGGAGGATGAGGCAATCTGAAATGCAAATGTTCTTCGCTTCCTTGAAAAAGCAGGAAGTCACCCTGAGTTTCTCCTTTCACAGAACAGTATGAGACAGAGAAGGACGCTTGTAGTGGTAATCAGGCCCAAGATAAAAAAAAATACAGTTTGTGCTGTTCCACGGGGCCGCTGATAGCTTCAGACGCTACAGTTCAAGAACATTTTCAAAAAACTGCGTTAAACCTGAAAGAGAAGGTTGTTTTAATCTGGAATGTGTTTCCTTTGAGTTCTCATTATGACTGAGAGGCCTGGATGTCCTGGTCCTGCAGCAGCAGTTTGTGGTTCTGATCGGCAGCCATCGCCTGAAGCGTCTTCCTCTGGATCTGTCTGGCTTTGTTGTACAAGAAGACGCCGATAAACACGACGACGGTGCCCGTGGCGCTGAGGATTGTCATCTGGTTACTGAACACGATGACGCTCAGCCAAATGGATAGGGCGTGTTTAACAGTACTGGCAACACTGGGGGAGAGCGAGAGATGTTATTAATGGGTTTTCAAAGTGAAACATATTGTAATTTCCAGACTATAAGCCGCTACTTTTTTGCTTTGAACGCTGCGGCTAATTCAAGCTTCATGCCATCAAAACATTTAGCCTCATCACACCTGGGCGCTCACATAGCTGCCCAATACACGTCTCTCTTGGGGGTGGAGTCCTCATAACTCAGTGAGACTGCCAGGTAACAGTGGGGAGGGGAGGAAACAAAGTTTTCCCCCCTTGTATCATATCGCTATCATGAAGATGGCGATCAATGACTTTCCGGTAGACGACTGTTTTTTGTTTTTCTTTAACCAGCCGTGTTACATGCACTGTACAGAACATTTACTGTACATATTTGTGTATGCTACTAGTACATATGTAATTAAAAGTTTGAAAAATATTTCTGTGTAAATATCTCATGTGGACACTCGCGGTCTGCAGACCCTTTCCAAAACATTTGAATATCGTGGCAAAGTTGTTTAACTTCCATAATTCCATTCAAAAAGTTTATCTTTAATAGATGGTAGATTCAGGGCCCACAATTTAAATTATTTCAAGTATTTTGTTTATTTTTACATAACTTGGGCTTCCAGCTCATGAAACACATGAAAACAGGATTAAAAAAATTAGAATATGGTGGAGAAATCAGCCCACACTACTTATCAGTTTTTGCAGAAAAAAAAAGAAATTAGGATCACAACAAATCAATCAAAAAATGGTACTTTCAAAATGATATGTCAATCTTCAAAACTTGGGTGGGAACCCCTTTGTCTTAATCACTGCCTCGATGCGACGTGACATTGAGACGATCAGCCTGTGGGAGTTATGGAAGCCCAGATTTCCTTGATGCTGTCAGCTCTTCTTTGTTGTTGGTCTGGTGCTCCTCATTTTCCTCTTGAGAACACCCCATAGATTCTCAGTGGGGTTTAGGTCCGGAGAGTTGACTGGCCAGTCGAGCACTGTGGCGTGGGCATCAAACCAGGTTTTGGTGCTTCTGGCGACATGAGCAGGGGCCAGGTCCTGCTGGAAGATGAAATCTGCATCTCCATACAGATCCTCAGCAGAAGGAATCATGAAGTCCTCTAAAACATTCTGGTAGACTGTTGCTGTGACCATGGATTTAAGAAAAGCAGAGTTTACCAACACCTGCACTGGACATTGCACCCCAACCGAGGAACCCAACAGTTGTAGCCCATGTCCTGGATGCGTCTGAATGTGGTGGTTTTTGAACCTGTGACTCCCGCCTCATTCCACTCTTTCTGGATCTCTGCCAGATTCTGGAATCTTCTGTTTGATAATCCGCTGAAGCCCACAGTCATCTCTTTTGCTGGTGCATCTTCTCCTGCCACATTTTGCCCTTCCACTAGACTTTCCATTGATATGCTTGGACACAGCACTCTGTGAACAGCCAGCCTCCTTAGCTATGAACTTTTGTGGCTTACCCATCTTATGGAGGGTATCAATGATGGTCTTCTGGCCAGTTGTCTGCAGTCTTCCCCATATTGAACCAAACTGAAGCAATTTAATGACACCTGTGTGCATGTCAGAGTTGATTTTAAGATTATTCTGCTGACATTTAAGTGTGTTAATGGCCTTGCACCCTCATACCTCTCCGACCTCCTTCATCCTTATACTCCTTCTCGGGCCTTGAGATCATCAGACCAGCTGCTTTGGCCGTACCTAAAACCAGGCTGAAGCTCAGAGGACATCTGGCATTTTCAGTCATGGGCCCTAAACTCTGGAATAATCTGCCCATCAACATTCGACAGGCCATCTCAGTCTCTATTTTTAAGTCTCTCCTCAAAACACATCTGTACTCATTGGCATTTAACACAGTGCGATCTTATTTGGTATTTCGTTGTTGATGATTGTGTTCATCCATTTTGCTTTTACTCCCTGACATTTAACGCAGGGTGATTTGATTTAGTATTTCATTGTTTCTCATTGTATTTAATGTTTTTATGTTTTTATTCATGTTGCTGTAATATCTTGTTATTAATATTTGATGCTGTGATCTTTTTTGGTAAACACTTTGATAACAGTTACCGTTTTCAATGTGCTATATAAATAAATGTGACTTGACACCTGGAGAAACCTGTGCAGGTGCTTTGAGTTTAGATGATTAGTGTGTCACACTCGGTTTAAAACATTCATGCCCTGCAACATTTGGGTTGATTTCTCCACAGTATTCTAATTTTTTGAAATCCTGTTTTCATGGATTTCATGAGCTGGAAGCCCAAATGATGTAAAAATAAACAAATAAATACTTGAAATCGTTTAAATTGCGGGCCCTGAATCTATCATCTATTAAAGATTAACTTTTTGAATAGAATTATGGAAGTTAAACAACATGATATTCAAATTTTTTGGAAAGGGTCTGTATATACAAGTACGGCCTATATATGTACAAATTAATAATTATTATTTTTTATTTAGTGTGCGTGGCTTATATTCAGGTGCGCTCAATAATCAGAAAATTACAGTATTTACTAGGAATGCGCAATATAAACGGTATACGGTAGAAACGATAGAAACTGAGCCTACGATAGAGATCTGTCTTCTACCGGCTAACCGCAGTAATGCTGCGTCTGAAGTAAAATCAGAGTTGTCAGTTTAATCGTTACTTTTTTCTTGTTGAAAACTGTGCATAAGTGGTGTTCAAGTGTAAAATCAGAGCTGTCAGATTTAATCTTTACTTTTTTGGAGCTGAAAACTTTTATTTTTTTTTATTTCTTTACATAATTCCTCTCCATATTTGATGACCCAAGTGGAGAATTAGCAACAAAAACATTTAACTAGTTCCACCATTAGACAGCTTCTATGTTTTTAAACTTGAGCATCTGATGGATCAACAGCTGTGACCTCAAAGAAAAACAACACAGCCTGTTTTAGCTGCATGCTTATATTTTAATGTAAATATGTTTGTTGTTGCTAAGATGGTCAGAATTTTGTTCACATGTATTTCCATAACGAGGTTGGCCGTACGTCTACTAATGATTAACTTTGGTGTCATCCTGATTCAAGAAGGTTGTCACAACTTGATCTTAGCCAACACAAAAATGACTAAATCAGCCAGTTTTACAGATTCTGAGCTGAAGTCTGGTGTGGTGGTAGCCGAGAGTTATCCCCAACACATACACTGAGCACTAACAGATCACGCCAGAGCTTTGCTTAAATCTTTGGTACACAGGGCGGTGGGTGGTTTTATTTATTTAAGATTTTATTTAAGTCACACTTAGTGTGAACAGAGTTCAAACAGCCTAAAGGTAAATAGAAATTTAAATAACCACTGACTAAACAGATGAACATGTTTTCTAATTACAACCAGCAGAACCAGAATCACCAATTTTAAAACGTCTTGAGCGCAGCTGGGTGGCTGTTGCCTAACAGGACCACAAGGCACTTGCTGAAAGCAGAAATGGGGGAATGCTACGAAACAGCATCAGACTTTTGTCAGAGAACGCTTTTAAACAACTTTTAAATTGTAGACTTGTTTATAAAACTGCAGCTCTGCATGTGAGCAACATCTTATCTAGGGAGCGCGTTAACAAACCACGCTGGACTTTGCTGTTCTTGAGATAAAGAGATTTTTTATCACAAAACAAGTGCGTAGAAGCATCGCCGTTATTTCCGTCCTACCTGAACGTAACCGGCGAAATCCGACCCATGAGCGCGTAGGCCGTGACGCTCTGCAGGTGGAACAGACACCCGTCGAACAGCAGCAACAGGATGATGTCTTGACTGAGCATGAAGCTCTGTCCACTCTTCCCAATCGCAGGAATGTCCTGGAAACGAGCAAGAACTCAAAATGACGCAGCGTCTCGTAAACACCGATCCTGCAGGGTCATTTCAAATGTTTTATACAGAATAAAACGTCATCTTCATGTGATTTTATGTATTTATGGAGTTCATCTTGCTGCTGAAATGAAAGGCCAGTGATGTGGTTGCCTCTCTGCGAGTGTTTGTTAGGTCTGTCCGTTAGCAAAATATTTCATGAACCGCTGGGTGCATTTTACTGAAACTCCCAGAAACAAATCATTTTATGTACATCTAGTTGATTTACCTCAAGGAGTCAAGCTGGTTCAAAATGGCTGCCACAGCTAATTAACCTTAGTAAACTCAAAAAAGGCTGTAACTCTGTCAGTTTTACAGAAATTGAGCTAAAATGTGGTGTGGTAGTAGCTGAGAGTCATACCTAACTCATACTGTGAGCACTATCAAGTTATGTTAGACCTTGTGAAACTTTGGCCTGCAAGGCACCGGGGTGTATCTAGTATTTATTATTTTCTAGTTTTATTGCAAACTCTATGCATTGCTTCATCAGCTTATCAGTCAGTGAAGAACTTTGACCTGAATGAACTGCACCAATTGACATGGCAGCTGCTCAGCAAATAAGGTCAGACTGATTAATGGAGTCATCCTGCCTCAAAAATACCCCACTAAGAACTACCAGCTTTAGTCCATTATGTGCTCTAATGAGGAGTTTGTAGCTGTAACAGTGATGAAGTGCACAGGAATTAACAAGTGTGTGTTTAGTCACCAGGAGGAAAACCCAGGCAGGTATGAGCATGATGACTGCTGCTGCGCTGGTGTAGAACTGCAGTTCTGGAGGGCTGAAACGAGATAACTTTATCAGTTTTTATGACCCACAAACAAATTTTAAAAAGACAAAAAGTGTACCTAAATCTGTACGTATCACCGCTCAGCAGCTTCTTGGAGAAAACGTTCTGCAGGCTGCAGATAAGAAACGCAGAGTTAGTTAAAGCACCGCAGTCGTGGCGGGTGTGGTGCAGCTGCTGTACAAACCAGTCCATGATGTTGGTGGACAGAGCGGCGGAGAAGCCGAGCATGTTGAAGCTGATCTCTGTAGCTGTGCAGAGGGCCAGACCAACCATGACAGGAAACAGGGACAGGTTCACCCACAGACCTGCAGGTTGAAAAATAAACAGTTAAATCACCTGATTCTCTCCTGGAAATAAACATTTTGTGCATTTTATTTCAGTCAAACTATAATGTGTCTGTCAGTACTCTATGATTCAAACTATAAGGCCAAAATTACATCAGTAAAGATACAAGAGGCCTTCCCTTCAGTTTGTATTCTCTAATTTGTGTCCATTTGCTCACCTGTGTACTCTCCGAGGATCAGCCTGGACATAATGACGGTAAAAATGGGCGCCGAGCTCTTCACAGTCTCAGCAAACGACACGGCAACATTCTTCAGGCTCACTAAGCCCAGAACCACAGTGGTGAACCTAACGAGAGCAAAGTGACCTCACTTGATGTTTGATTTGTACCAGATCTGTTCTTATCATCAACTTTGTGCCGTTTGCAACAGATTCTGCCACTCAAAAGCAAAATGTTCTCTTTACACGCACACGCTCACAGTGCTTCTGTGTTTTTAAATGTTCTGTTTAAGGATAAAACAACCACCTCATGAGTCCAACAAACAGCATGATCATGATGAAGTTGGGAGGATACTCGGATCTGGACTTGTGCTGGTAAAGGCAGCAGGGAATAAACATCTTCAGGCAGCCTATGAAGGTGGTGGAGAGCATCTGGACGGCACCTGAGGGGCAGAACATGGATGAATATAACGAAAGCAACTCGTCAAGGCAGAAGCAGTAATGGAGACAGGAAGACCCATTCATTAAAGAAACGTCCAACAGAAAACATCCCAGGGTTGAGACAACTCCCAGAGGCAGTCCAGCTTAAGACAAAATGTAAACAATGCTATTCAAACAAGCTTATCAGAAAAAAGACGAGGCCATCAGCTGTTTTATCTTTGCTGGAAGGCCATGTAACTTGAAGAGCAGCCTGACCAAACATCGAACAAATCTGTTCCAACTCATGAGGACTGCCTCTTATTTATCCCAACACAACTAACACAATTTATTTAAACTAATTCAAGTAGACAACAAGTTTCAAAATGTAAAAACGGTGCTTCATTGACTTATTATAATGAATAATTCATTTAATGAAGAATAAACAGAACATAATTTTAAAATATATGATTAAAGTCTCCAGAACACATCTGAGTTGTTTTCCTTCAAACTAAAAAGAACCCCCCCCCACCAAAAAAAAAACCCCAATAATTTCTTATAAAATGTGTCATTACATTATTTTTTTGGGAAAGACGTTCAGCAGAAGCACAAAATGCAGAAAACATGTTGCTGTCCCAGAGAAAAAATAAATATGAAGAAAAAAAAGACTTAAAATCAATTTAACAAGAAAGAAACTTTAAACAGAAAATCCCAGGGACTGACACAATTCGAAGTGGCAGAATATTTCTTCGTTAGGATAATTAGAAAATGCTTTTATATAAAAAAAACAAGTGCTATGTGTGTCTCATCGTATGTTTCTATACAATGATGAAATTAGTGCTCTGCATTTAACCCATCACACGTGACATGCACCCAGGTGGAGCAGCGGACAGCTGTGTAAGCGCCCGAGGAGCAGTTAGGGATTGGGTGTCTAAAGAACATGTGGGCATGATGGGAGTTGAACCTGTGACTTTCTGGTGCCACGTCGGCTGCCCGACCTCTACACCACAACAGCGGCCCCTACCACACCAACTATAACGGACATTTTCTATCAGATACACGTGTCACCAGCAGTGAACAGCAGCATGTGGAGGGCATTTCCTTCATGACAACTGTGCCACACCTCGTGAAAACCGGTCACCAAATCCTGTTTTTCCATCCCCACAGCCAAGGTCAGAAACGTTCTACAAAGCGGCAGAAGTGTTATCTCTTCTTACCCAGCATGCTCGGTTCACCTTCCAGAAGTGACAGGATGTACTTGTTGAGGAACAGAGTGCAGAAGCTGAAGAAGTACCAGAGGCCCAGGTAGGACAGAGAGCGCCAGTTCCACACTCCGGATTCTGCCTCGATCATTGTAGTCTCTGTGACCATGATCTTCAGCACCTGCTCCCCGAGCAGGCTCTCACTCCGGGCCAGAACCACCCGCTCCTGACGGGTGCGGAACGGTGACATGAAGTGCCAGAGTGACTTCCTGGCTGACTGCTTGCTGCCCTGCATTTTACCGGCTGCCTCGTGGCCCTCGGGGGGCCCAACAGTCAGATAATGACAAAGGAGAGGAGCAGTCGAGATGTTTTGATGGTCAGTCCATCTTCTGATGCGTCCAGCAAGTTATGAGTCTCCAAGCCTCCCTCTCCTGTAAAAGACAATGACAGAAAACATTAAAAACTATAAATAAGTTTGATGTTCTTGTCTTCTCCACAGATTGCAACGTGACAAACTGCTCACATCCTCAAGTTTCAAGAAGCGTTCAATACAAAAACAACTGGACTTTATTTGTAACAGAAGACGTTTCGTTCCTCATCCGAGGAGCTTTCTCAGTTCAATGAGCAGCGAGTGAGGGATTCAGGTTATAAGGCTGAGTGAGATAAGACACACACACATATGTAGATTTGACAAGTCACACCTCAACACCTTAACAGTAGGGGGTTCTTAACGTCTTTGTTACTTTAATTCACAGATGAGACCCCTCTGTTCCCATCAAGTGTGAAAACCGGCTGGGAATCTGTCTTAAAGTTGCATTATAGGTTTTTGAAAGTTTCACTCAGGTTTCACTCAGCCTTATAACCTGAATCTCTCACTCTCTGCTCAATGAACTGAGAAAGCTCCTCGGATGAAGAGCGAAACGTCTTCTGTTACAAATAAAGTCCAGTTGTTTTTGTATTGAACGTTTTTTCAATTTATCAAGTCCTGGATGACTGAGAATCTTCACCAGCATCCTCAAGTTTCTGTGTAAACAACAACAATAACATTATAGCCAGACAGGTACAACAACAAGCATCTCCAGCATCTTCAAGATCAAAAACCGAAAACAGTGAAAATATATTATTGCGTTAATTTGCTTTAAAGAAGCAAAATATGACATATGAGTCATATGAGTTCAACATTGTAACAATGATATTTCACTAATCACTAAATGGTATAACCATCAATGATCTTAAAGTATACTTTACATCCAGTAAACTCCCTAAAATATGATTCAAATGCTTTAAAAAAAAGGCAGTTCATCCACCTTTTAGATTTCCTTCCTAAATAAAATGTATAGCTAAATAATAATAATAAATTAAGAGTACAACTCGGCCACAGTGTGTCGGAAAGGTTGAGGAACATTCAGTCACATTTACTAAAAACAACCAAACTTTTAAAACAAGTTACCAACAACCTACAAAACCAGTGCAGTTAGTTCAAAGATGATTATATTGATTCAAAAAAATCCAAAAACTTTTCTGACTTTTGAAAACACTACATTTAAGTTTTTCCAGCACACATAAAAACTGTCATTAGAGACCATAAAGTCCATCCCATGTCCTGACTGCTCAGTGGTTTTCAAGGCTTTCATTATGTTTAATCACATATAAATCAAAACATGTTTCATGCACAACTTTCAGTTGTGTTTGAAATACTTTTACATAGCAGTATGCTAGAAGAGTCAGATACTTCCTTGTTTACTACAGTTTTTGCGCATGATAGGAGCAGAAATGTGAAAAATCCTAATCCCTCACAGTTTAAACTCTATACTTTGGTGTGAACGTAGCAGTCAAGGTAGACATCCTACAATAAAATCTAATATTTACAATTAATAACTCGGGACAGCTAACTGTCTGTGAGCTCCTGCTGGGTAAAATACTTCACCAAGATCGTAAAAACTTACCTTTCCGTGAATCTTTGGTTTGTACACACTGTCGAGCCTGAAGGAGAGATTTTTCCAAAACAAGAAGTTGCACATAAAACGTTAGCTAGCCGCATTTACACGCTAAGAAAAGAAGTGTTTCTTTAAGAAAACACCTGCCATGTCGGCCATGCTGCTCTACATGAGAGAGTGTTGGACCAAACGCCTCGAATATTAACAAAATTTACACTACGAGGTTAACTCGAAGCTGGACACTTTACTTTGAACGTGGCTGCTGTTAGCATGGACGCGCAGCGGCGTCAAGTTCTGAAGAAGCCGTAACCGGATACCAGGAAAAACCTTCAAATTAAAACTTCCGTTTCATAGGTCAGTCCATAATAACTTCAAGATTGTGTTATTTCATACTACTGTTTTATATTATATTGCATTTATTTTATTATGAGTGAAATCTATCCCAAATTTATATATATATATATTTTTTTAGCAAAAAAGACATAAAAAAGACCGTCTATGGAAAAAAAGATAATTACGATAAAACGTAGACTTTTATTTTGATGACAAAACTAGAGAGCTTCCGGAGAAAAATAAGCTCTTTTTACGAAGCTAAAATTTAAGTTCTTATTTGTTTGTGGGTTTTATTTGTATATTGAAATTAATATATTTTAATACGTTTTTTTTATGGTTTGGATATACTACAAAAACCATAATTAAAATTTTCGTCTTGCGGAATCACGTGATGTAGTTCTTTATTTGTCCACTAGAGGACAATACAAACGCACAATTCCAAATCAATCAACCTTTATTTATACAGGTAAATCCCATTGAGCCTCGAGGACTCATTTACAAGAGAGACCTGATTTCAACAAAGAAAGATGACAACAATGGACAACAGCAACAACAACAAACAGTTATGAAAAAACATACTACAGTTTTTTTTTTTTTTTTTTAACAAATAGGATGGCTAAAAGTAACAAGGTAACAAAACAAACAAACAAAAAATAAAATAAAATAAAAAAACGGCTAGATTCCAAGACAAATGTAGAAAACTGACTGACTAGACTGTACTGTATTTAAAACATCTAACAAGGTTAAATCAGGTCTTCTCAACATCCAGACGACCTGATTTAACCTTGTTAGATTTTTCTACCTGGATTATTGAGCATGCATCAGGATATAGACAATATGTTTACATAAAATATTAATGTTACGGTTGTGTACTTTGTAAAATCCTGCAGATAGTACTTCATCTAATATCAAGGTGCTGCTGTGAAAAAAACACCAAAATAGAAATATGGCTGGAGCCAACTGATGATTTTTTTTAAGCAATAATCAGACACTGACCATTTCATAATCAGAGTAGAAAATTATCAGTTAAAAAAATGTAGGAAAAAAATAACTAAATTTGAATATGTTCAGTGTTTTCTAGAACGTACACCAAAAAACGTTCAGTGAGGAGGAAGTTTTCCAGAAACAACATTATGAAAAAAGAGATTAAGAAAGAGTCATTATTCTGATTGATGTGCTTAAATAAAAGAAAGTTAAAGAAAAAGGTTGTTGCTGCAGTGCGTGGGATTTCTTGTGCCACACCTTAAAAAGAAACAAACAGGTTTTATACAGTCTAATATACCGATAACTACATTTTCTTAAAGGGTTACTTCCATAACAAAAGACACTTCAAGCTGGTTTGACTGGTTTCAGTGAGAAACTGTTGCTTCTACATGTAATCTACAGATCTGCTTCTTTGGGACAAAATGAAACAGCACATTGGTAGCATGAATGTGCACAAGTCAAATCATCTGAGAATGTTTTGGTCTGGACAGCTGTTAATAAACAGTGGTGTGTGGTGGTGGTGGTGGTAATGAACCAGCAAGGCAACCACAGAAAGCAGCTTGAATGTGCCTTCCAAAAACTGCAACTCAAACATGAGAGCAGTTCTGTAACTTTTAAAGAGCTAATTAACATAATATATTATTATTTAGCAAAGTACACACAATTAAATGGTTAAAAAATGAATTTAGGTTGTTTGTTGCTGCAGCCAATGGGATTAGGATTAATTTCAGTCTGTTTTGTCAAGGTTATAAAATTCTTTTTAGCATTTTGCTTGTCTTTTTTGTAAAAAGATCATGTCTTTTTATATCTTATATATAAGTTTAAGCTTTGATTACAGCATGCAACTGTTGAGGCTTTTTTAAAATAAGAGCACGCCATGTAACACTTTTTTTAACCTTACTTTTTCACTTTATACTGTTTTTATATTGACTGTCTGAGCAACCTGAAGAGTCGACTAACCTGTATAAATAAAGGTTAAATGAATTATAAAACAGTATTCACTTGTTGAGGCACTTTGGCCTTCACAAGATGTTTGAAGTGTATGGTTAGTCATTTCATCAAAATAGTTATAAGGTTATAATAGTTAGAAGGTTTAAAACAAATATCCATAGTTTCATATTTCCTATAGTTAAAATTAGTATTTGGCCACTAACAAGGTTTGTCCTAATCTACATTTTAAATATTACAGGTGCATTTTTCATTTTAAAAATCACTTTAACAATAATTTCACATAGGTTTCAGCTCCAGATGTCCAGTTTTTCCTATCTAGAATAGACATATATATTTCTGAATTTCTAATGGGATTAAAAAAAAAAGATAACAATCCATTTGTTGCAAGTCGTAATATTTATTATGGTTATCTATTCATATTTCCCAAAAATCTTATTGGGACTAGCGGAAACAATTGCAGACATCAGTGTCTGGTTTATTGACTTGCATGAACAGTCTCTAAATCACTCCATTTAATTATTTTAGATATTTGTAAAAACATTAAAGGGATACTTTATTTTATTTGAATTATTTTAGATATTTGTAAAAACATTAAAGGGATACAATTTTAACATAAAACAGTTAAACTGAAAAGTATCTTACTTTTAGATGTCTTGTATGCAAGTTTCTTGGAGGATTTTGTTTTAGATTTCCACAACATTCCTCTGAACAGGAAGTGTGAACATCTGGACCTGAGAGCCCAACATGCACAAAACAAACAAACAAACAAACAAAAAACAACTATTTTTTCTGAGGATGAATGCCACTTGAAATCTTACGTTTTATTGTGGATCTAACATTTTCATTTGATTTGATATCATCATTGCATATGACAATTAAACTTTTGAAATATACAAGTTATAATTATTTTTGAAGTAAAGTTAAAGTTTAAGCAACATAGTCAATCAATCAACCTTTATTTAGACAGGTAAATCCCATTGAGCCTCGAGGACTCATTTACAAGAGAGACCTTATAAAACAAAATGTTTGAGATGTAATTTTTATTAGGCATGCTATTTGATTTAAAATTTAGCCATTTGCGTTGTAAGTTGGTCAGGAGTAACGATATTGATGTGCAGTACAGTATATAAAAGTTCAAAAACGTTCAAGACAAGAAGTATTATGAAAGTATATAGAATGGTTAAATAAATAACACAACGGCTTGCCAACAAGGTCCTGTGGCGTATTGTAGATTGTCTGGTACATGTTCCTCCCATCAGACACAAACAGGAGGAGATAAATGTGTTTGGAATAGTCTGAGTTTATGTATTTTAGTGTATAAAAATATTCATTAGATTTATAGTAAAAAATAAGTTAATAATTGAAGTAACATAATTCAAGTCATGCAGTTCCACAAGTGTCCGCCAGAGGGCAGCGCCACGGTTCAGTTGAGGACAATAACACAATAAAGCAGCGAAGAAGAGTGTTGTTCCGGTCTGCAGTTGTGTTGTAAATTAAAACAGAACTCCTCCCGGTTCGGGGGCGGGGAAGCGGCGAGGAGCTCGCAGGAATGTAAACTCCAGGTTCGGGTCTCGGTAGTTGTCGGCAGGGGGAAATGGACGAGCGAAGGTCAGCAGCCTAATGCGAACGGTTATCATGACAACGGGTCGTGAGTAGCGATGCAGCCATGAGAAACTGTTGGATGTTCCGCTTCATAACACGTTTAAACCAGGCACAGCCATTCAAGAGGCTCCGGGTGAATGAAGCATTCACTCTTAGACCAATGTTGTGTTGAAAACGAGGTTCATGCGCAAACCGCTGGTAGTTGTCACATTAACCTCTTGCTGCGTTGAAGCACGGTGTCTGCAGCTGCTCGCTGCAGTGGCGCAAACACAACGTTTCAGGTTGTCAGTGGTAGTCAAGCTGCACAAAGTAGTTCAGAGAGCATAAAATAGAAAACCAACTCCATGAACGAGTTTAAAACTTGAGCCTGATTCAAACTCTGCCGTGATTTCTCAACCCACGAGTGTGGAAATTATGGGGAAGTCCAAGAAGAAGAAGGGTGTGGGTTAGGATCAAATCTGTCAGAAGCCTCGATAGAAAACATAAGATTTTCAAGTTGATATCATAAATTAAAGATTATAACAGTGCATATCATGGTTTTCTTTTCCTGCAAGAAACATTAACATTTGCACCAAGTATAAAGTTTGAACATTAAGATAATAGTTTTGTCTTATTTTGTAGCTCATTAACCATAAAGCATTCCTTGAAGAAAACATTTTGTCCAAAACTTGCAAATATTGTTATACGAGATGTAGGGGTGCACCGATTGCAGTTTTCTGGCCGATCACTGATTTCCAAAAGGTCTGACCTGCCGATTCCGATTTTGTTTTATAAGCAACACTGTCGGGTCACAATGCACCTTCAATTTTCCAATATTATTTTATTGAAAAACATACCCTTGAACAATATCCTAGAAACAATACAAACTTGTTTTAACTGGTAGTGCTCTGAAATATAAAGGAAGTTCAGACAATTGTTGTTGAAACAAACAAAAAAATCGGTAAAATCGGTTTCTCGTGCAAGTATCGGCCGATTTCCAAAAATTAAGGAAATCGGGGCCGATTTATCGGTGCGCCCCTAACGAGATGTCATACGATGCTGTGATACCTTACAGAGCATGTGTTTGAGATGATTTAGCTCAAACTCAGAAAAGCTGACAGAGTTACAGCCACTTTTCTGTTGACTAATAATAATAATAATAATAATAATAATAATATCGCACTTTGATTGTGGAACTTGAGGACATAGAAGTGAAGAGGTCACATTTATGAGCATAATAAAAAGCCCAGAGATGTAACAGTTAAAGTATCATTTGGAAGAAGCCATAAAATAAATGTCTGCTGGGACTGAAGGCATCAATGTGCAACTGGGTTTTTGAATTCTTCACTGGCAGACCAGTTTGTAAGAATCCAGTTTCTCATCCTCTCCTTGTGTTCTCAACACCGGCTCCTCACAGGGACGTGTCCTGAGCCACCTCCTGCACACTCTACTCACATTTGATGGCTCCGGACATCCAGGAAATCAGATTGTGACGTTTACAGGTGCTGTTGGATTCATTTCCAACAACCACGAGTCCGAGATAAAGGAGCTCGCTGACTGGTGGACAAGCGAGATGGTAGTTGATAGGCCTGTCACGATAACGCATTTTGCTGGGCGATTAATTGTCTCGGAAATTATTGCGATAAACGATAATATTGTTTGAAATTTGACCATAATTACTAATTATGGTCAAATTTAAGAAGAAATGTTGGTCAATTAGTTTTGCGTGTAGTACCTTTTTGACCACCGGATGGCAGTATAAGATTGTTTGAACCGAAGGATGGATAGTGAAGGAGCGAGCAGTGTGTCTCTAAGAAAAATAGGAGGGAGGCCCCTTGACGTGACGTGGACTATCTCTCCTTCCTGTTTTTCGGTTCTCGAAATGGCGGACACTCGATGTGGTTTGAGCTCTTTTTATAGCATTTTTCACACAAAGCTTTTAATAAAATAAAAAAAAACCCAGTAAACAAGTTCTCAGCTTCTTTTTGCAGAGAAAACCAACTTTTTACGCGAAGACACGGGTTTCAACTGTGAATTGTGGAGCTTCGACAAGACGGAGGTTTTTTCCGAGGTCAGCCTGTTAGCTTAGCTCGTAGCTTAGCTTCTTTTAAAGATACAAAAACACGATTTTAGACGGTTAAAATGGATTTTAAAGAGAAAGGGAGGGGTCGGTGAGGAGCACCAGAGTTGAGACTTTTGTCATCCAGTGTCTTCAGTAGAAAGAGAGACACGAAGAAACGATAAAGTCGATTAATGAAAATGAGGTTGATCATTTTAATTTATCATTCGATTAACTGATTTATTGTTTATCGCGACACGCCTAGTAGTTGACTTTAGTGCTGCAGAACAGGTGAAAGCAGTCCGACACCTGGGCCTGCACATATGTGATGACTTCACTTGGGGCACAAACGCAGCTAGCGTTGTCAAGAAGGCCTTCTCTGTTTTATGAGGAGGGTGAAGCACGCCGGCCTCCTGACATTTTCCATCACAGTGTGGAATAAAACTGCTCTGAGGCTGACGATAGGACGCTGCAAACGCTGATTAGATGAGCTTAAGAAACGATCGTTAACTTCCCTTTACTAGAAGACATTTTTACACAAGACAACGCAGAACCAGAAAAAAAACTTTATGGTGAACACTATGAACTCAAGCAGAAGGTGCAGCCTTAAAGTGCAGGCAACAAGATCTTGACATGATGATTTTTCCCCCCTTTAATTAATTAATTTAGACACTGAATGACATTATAAGTACTTTTAATAAAACACGCACCAGCTCCGTTTAAAACAACCTCAGCCCTGAGCTAAACTTCCTCATGATCAACCAAAATGTTAGCTATCACAGAAGCTGTAAAAACAAAAATCACATTCAGTTTTCCTTTGTCTTTAAGTCCATTGTTGGGCCACCAGCAGCCACAGAGTCTAGATCTTCTGTCTCCAAACCTGAGACCGAGACACCAGAATCTGATCCCCACGCCATGTGGACCGGTGAGACGGCCTGTTTTTATTTCAACACCAGAAAACACAGATTTCAGCTTGAGACGTGACCGTGAGTCCATTTGAACGTTCCTTGTCCTCTCGTCTCCTCCCGCAGATCAAGTCCTGGTCGGAGCTGTCGGCGCCAGTGAAGCTCTACTTCTGCTTCACCATGGCGTCTCTGCTGGCGCTGCTCGGCCTCACCTCGTACAGCATCTACAAGCAGCACATGAACACAGACGTGTCCGATGAGGACAACTTTACCGTGTCCATCATTCAGTTCATCGGACTGTGTGAGTACAGTTACTCAGCAGGGAGGCGGGAGCTCAGGTATTCTCAGTCAGACATGTCGGGGCTGAAACCCCCACGTTTTCCTGCTCAGATCATGTGACGGGCAAACCGCTAGCTGTCTGAGCACGCCCAGATGAATCAGTGTGGGTGCTTGGGACGAGCTGGTAGATCTGCTTCCTCATTTTCAACACTTAAAAAAAAATAATTCTTTAGAAAAGAAGTCCCAGTTTACTGCAACTGGGTGTGTTTCCCATAAATCTGACAACGTTGGCACAGAGTGTTGAATCAACACACCAGAAGGAATCATTTGCATTTTATGTGAATCGTTTCTAAAAAAAAGTGACCACCGTGGCTGCATCCAGTCCAAAACAACCTCCTCTTAATCTTCTTTACTTCCTGTTTTAGTAAGAAGGATTTTTCGGTGCAGAAATGACAAAGTCTGTCTTTTTTATTGTTGTTGTTTTCAGCTGCTTTGATTTGTTGAGGAACGGGCTCAACAGAACCTCTGCGAGGTTCACCTGGCTGCAGGTTCTGAACGCAGCCCGGTTGGACCCTGATGACTTGTTTTTGCAGCTCAGTTCAAACTGAGGCAGAAGTGAACACCCACATTCATCAGCTTCTTTTTCTGAGTGAACAGTTTTTACAGCTTGGTGCATTTTATTTATTTATTTATTTATTTATTTATTTTAGAAACTCCAAAATTTAGTCGTTTTACTTCTGTTGAAAGTTTTATAGAATGCGCTGAACTAATAAAAACTACTGAGTTGTCGTTCAAATGAGTAAAGCGAAGCAGTTTGTTTATTTAAAATAATAATCTGTTTTTTTTATTTTATTAACATGATATTTAACCCACAACAAATCAATTAAATCAACATTTTTAAAAAATAAATTCAGTGGTTTGTATTCAAATAAAGCGTTGGCAGCTTTTACTGCACGTTTGTCCACTTTATATATTTTATATTCACTAAGTTCTCAATAAAACGTAAATGATTGCAACACGACATAATAATCTATCATAATTAGCAGATTTATTGCAGAGCGTGTCTTTAAAAAGACTTTCAGACAAACTCAACCTTTGAACACAAGTTGTCCCTGTCAGGAAAAATAATTCTCTAAGAAGTGCAACTTTTTAGGAAAAAGATGAGACAAAGATAAGCTTTTAATCTTCCCTTGTGATCAAGTTAAGAAATTAAAGTAATTCTTTATTAAATTCAAAAAGCAACACTTACACAAGCTAAAGAAACATTAAATTGAATAAAAACTGATTTAATTATATACCGTATTTTTCGGACTTAAAATCCTTTAATTTTCTCAAAAATCAACGGTGAACTTTCCGTATTAATTCTGGTTGTGCTTATTGACCTCGAACTGATTTTATGTGGTACCCAGCACTAAAAAACCAACCAGGAAGTGTTCCTGTGGTGGTTTTGTTTCTCTTAATGCGCCTTATAGTCCGAAAAATACGGTCCTCCGAGAAACAGTGGTTTATACGTCTCGCACCGCTTTTATGTCGCACCTTAAAATAAAATTACAAGAAAAGGCGGAAAAAACGTTGCACGAATTGAAAAAAACAAATGTTTTCTTGATTTGATGAGTTGTAGAAATGTTGCAACAGAAATGGTGGGGAGTTGGAAGAACTGGGCTTGTGTTGTTCCTCACAGGGTTCTGCATCTACTACATGAGCCGCGGCGTGATGCAGGAGAACAGGCAGGAGCTGGGGGCGTTCGTGCTCAGCGTGCTGGCCGTCATGATCCGGTCCGTGGTCAACTTCTCTGTGGTGGGGTCAAAGGGCGAGCCGGAACTGTTGGTGAGTTAACTTCGCACACCCTGGAGGGGTGGGGGGGGGGGGGACGCGCGATCAAGCTTGATCAATTAAAAACAAACGTGTGATATTAAACTGCAGAATTATTAAATGTATTGTTGTCTACAGTCTTATAGAAACAACATGAAAACAACCAACATCATTTATTGGTGTTTGCAAGCGAAATGAAGTTATATTGATAAAGTGAAACAAATTTGACTAACCACAGGAACAACCCTTCAAACCTAAACTTTTTTAAACCAGTTTGGACTGCTTGCTGGTTGTTTACCACAATTACCGTATTTTCTGCCGTACACGTCGCTCCGCCCTAGAAGTCGCATCAGTCCATATTTGTCTAATAAAGTGGAAAAAATCCATAAATGTGTCGCGGAAATGTGGGCCGGTGTTGTGCCAAAAATCAATGGGCTGCCAAATGGCGGCCGCAAGAGCGTGCACGTGAGGACTTTAACAAGAATATAATAAGATAAACACCTAAAACAATTATTTGTTTGCTCGAAATTATAGCAAAGGTGAGTCTCAGTTGAACTGTCCCTTGAAAAATGCACTTTAATGGTCAAATCGGCTGAATTTCTAAAATGGTTTTGTTGCCTCGGTGCTCCGTGCTCAGGGAGGAAATCAGGAAGAAGAAACGCTGCTCGTTTCTTCGTAATTTAATAAGAAAAGCATCTAAACAATTATTTGTTTGCTCGAAATTATAGCAAAGGTGTGTCTCAGTCTAACATTTGCTTAATAAATGCACTTTAATGGTCAAATTAGGTGCATTTCGCCGGGGCGGTGCAGCTGTTTTGACAGTTCCAAGCAGCGAGCAGAACGAAGGTGGGGGGACTGTGGCAGGCCGATTGTGTCATTAATAACTGGTGAAGATTCTCAGTCATCCAGGACATGGTAAATTCAAAAAAATTTAAGATAAAAATAATAAAGTAAAATAAAGTCCAGTTGTTTTTGTATTGAACTTTTTTGAATTTGTCATTATAGCCACGTTTACCTATTACATGATACAACAGCATGCCATACTGTTACTACTACTCTGCTGCCATCAAGTGGCTGAAAGTGGTACTGCTCAAATTTATTTTTCAGTCATAATGAATGAAAACGGTAGTATCTCTGCCACAAATTGGTTTATAAATATTGGAAAAAATCCACAAATATGTCGCTTCAGCCTATAAATCGCAGGACGTGCAAATTATGCAAAAACTGCAAGTAATAGGCAAAAAATACGGTAGTCAATACTTTTGGCTAAGCTTTTGCTACCTTTAGCTAGGGTTTTGCTTTCAGCTTGCCTTTCAAATAGTCCTATGCTATAATGCTACTTTAATTTGTTTTTTGGTAACTTTGCTACTTTTGGCTTTCGGATAATGGTTGGTGTCTTTTAGCTATAAAACTCAGTTTATGCTTCTTCAGCAAAGATTATTAGTTATTCAGCACTTTAGAAAATACAGTTCGTCTAGTTCATAATTCTTTACAAAGGTGCTGAAAAGAATAAATGTTTTTCAGATTTGACGTCTCGGACTAAATATCCCTGAACAGCTTTGTCAGGACAATGGAGAGCTGAAATGAGAAAAATTTAATTCAGCCTTTATTTATACAGGTTAGTCCCATTGAGCCTCGGGGACTCATTTACAAGAGACCTGATTTTAACAGAGTGATGACAACAGTGGACAACAACAACTATAGACGATCATAAAGGATGTGTACAAATTGAGAATTTTTATTTATTTTATTTTTTAACAAGTGAAAATAAAACGGTATTTAAAAGAAAATGTAACCAGAAGAAACAGCTAGGTTGTAAGGTGATGTAGAAAACTAAAAACAAGAGCATGTCTGTATGTTAACGGACATTTAAAGGATGTTTAAAGTTTTACTTAACGGATGTTTAAAGGATGTTTAAAGTTTTACTTAACGGATATTTAAAGGATGTTTAAAGTTTTACTTAACGGATGTTTAAAGCCACTTAGAGAGGTCAAGGTCGAGAGCTTCAGATCTCCAAAAAACAATTTAATGCTGCAAAGTTTCACAATGATGAGATCCACTTGGAGTGAAGTTTATTTTTTAGAAATAAATTTAACTGAAGCTGTAACAACATTATGTCCTCAAACCATTAAACCTTCAGCTTCCTTCCTGTTGAGTCACACTTCCACCACTAGATGTCGCTGTTGTTGTTGAATCAGACAGGCGTAGGAGGATGACCGTCTTGACTGGATTTGAAAAACTACTGGTACTTGTTTTATGAGCTGCTGCTGTTAATAAATACTCCATCCAACCAACCATACATCCAACTATCCATTCATCCATCCTGCCATCCATCAACCCAAACAACCATCTATCCATCCAACCAACCATTCATACATCCAACCATCCATCCATCCAATCATCCAACCACCCATCCATTCATCCATCCATCCAGCCATGCACCATCCAACCATGCATCCAACCATGCATCCATCCAACCATGAATACATCCATCCATCTAATCATCCAAACATGAATCCATCCAACCAACCATTCATTCATCCATCCAACCATGCATCCATTCATCCATCTTTCCATCCATCTATTCATCCATCCAACATCCAACCATGCATCCATTCTACCAACCATCAAT